AGAGAAAAATGCGTCAACACATCGCATGGATTTAGATGGCTTTCTTTCATTTTTGCTCGATGAAATTGAAGGTGAAGAGAGAGCATCTATAGCTACTCAGTGTTTTACTAAACATCAGACTCCTAAGCCTGGGAATGCTAAACACTTTGGTTTCAAAAACCGTGGAAAATTTTCCAAAACTTCTTCTGCTTCTACTCTAATAGCAACATCTGAACAAAATTCAATTGAATGTATTTTTTGTGCTGGAAATCATGCATCTGGTGATTGCTTTATAGCAAGAAAGATGACGTCTGAGGAAAGGCAAAAAGCAGTTCTAAATAGTTGCAGTTACTTTTTTATGTTTAGACAGAAAACATGTAATAGCTAAATGTAAAAAATCTGATGTGTACACCACATGACTTCCTTGTACGGAATATTAAATTATATGCATTTTTCTTGCATTTCATTTAAACTTATTAGATTGAATTAAACCTACTTCGCCGACAGCGCATAAACCACAATAGAATAAATTGCATTCTTTTAAAATTCACTTATATTTGTTTACCATAGCAACGACTCTGGCGCTAAGTTTACTTAACCAGTATTATATTTCGTTCATATTATAACTCAGAATGCACAAAACTTATATCATTTAAAGAATTATCTAATCATTGCCACATGTTCTATTCAAATACTATAATAAAGCTAGAACTATGTGTAAAAGAAATTAAGCAAGCAAAACAAAAAAGAAACAGTTTTTCACAAACGATTGAGTATTTCTCATTCAATTAATTCAGTTTCAATTCAATTGTCAGACGTGCAGCAACTGACACTATGAAACTGTTAGAAATTGAAATAAAGAAACAGGAAAGATCAGTTGATTTAATTGATGAACTTTTAGCGAAACTTTTAGATAAGGAAGCTAATTTAAAGTATCTTAATGAGGAAATTCTAAAACTGTGCAAAATGGAAGAAATAGAAAAGGAAACTGAAAAACAGCAAGAATATAAAGATAATATTATTACTTGGAAAATTCGCGCGAACAGAATCCTGAAAACGAAAGAAAGCGAAGTTGTTCACGAAACTGAAAGAGCAAATGTTGTAGAAACCAGAAGTGAGCAGCAGAATATAAAATTTCCTCGCTTGCAGATACCTCAATACGATGGCAATATATTAAAGTTTAACGAATTTTATTCTCAGTTTGAAGTAACTATCCATAAAAATGTGAATCTTAGTAATGTAGAGAGGTTTAGTTATTTAAAATTGTACTTAACAGACGAAGCTGAGGTAGCTCTAACGTGGTTTAGCATTAAGCTCTGAAAACTATAAAATTGCCTTGAACATATTAAAAGAACGCTTTGGTCGAAAAGATATTATTATCAATGCGCATATGGCAAGACTTTTAAACTTAAGTCCAGTACGAAAATCATATGACATTGTAGCGTTGCGTAGACTTTACTCAGAATGCGAATCACATGTTCGAGGATTAGAAAACAACAGAATTAATCCTAATAGTTACATTTGTCTACTGTATCCAGTGTTGTTAAAATCGATAACCAAAGATTTGTCCTTAGAATTTTCTCATAGAACACATTCGGGAGATGAAAACAAAATATCTGATTTATTGGAATTTTTAAAGATTGAAATTCAGTGTCGTGAACGTAACGAGTACTTAAGTAGAGACTTTAATTTAAACACTTCAGATTCACGATTTGGAAACTAAATTTAATCCTTTACAAAAACCTTATCAAAAGTATGGGAGATTTAATAAAATCAAGATTGATTATAGGAGGAAAAATAAATTAAATTTGAACATTCCTACTACTTCTGCATTTATTTTTAATATGAAAAAATGTATATTTTGTACAAAACCAAAAATAGAGCACGATTCTACTTCTTGTTCCTTATCGGTAGAATAGAGAAAATTAATTCTTAGAAAATATGGTATATGTTATGCTTGCCTTTTGAAGGGGCACGTACATAAGCAGTGTCAAAAGAAATCTATTTGTGGAATTTGTTAACGTTTAATGCATTACGAAATGATTTACGATCAACCCAATGTTTATTCTTCTTCCCCCGCTCTGGAGTCTCGTCAGACCGTCGACGCGAATGAATTAAATGTTGTGTCTTCCGTAGCATGTGTGAATGAATCCGATGATTACAGCGACATAACTACTTGCTCCGCAGTATTAATAGGCAGTAATAAAAACAAAGAGATTAATATTTTGTTAGATAATGCATCACAGAGATGTTTTTTGAGAAAAGAAGTAGCCGTAGAAATGAAAACTACCCATAATTAGACAAGAAAGTCTAGGCTGTTTACACTTTCGGCTCTAGAGTGCCAATACAAAAACGTATGACACAGATTGGTTTACACTTTGTAATTTATGTGATTCGGATAAGAAAATAACGATTGGAGCACTTTTGACTGACTGTATTTCTGGATCGCAGTTTAAAGTATCAAATAACAAATTAATGCAAATACTTTCGAGGAAGAACATTCAGTTGTCAAACTTAAGTAAATCGTCAGGAAATGAATTGTCTCTGCTTATTGGAGCACAGTATTTTGGGGATATTCATACAGGAGAAAAACAGCAATTAAACAAATCTTTGTATTTGATTGATACTCTGTTTTTGGAAGGGTTGTTCAAGGTCGAATCCCTCCATCAGATTTAAATGCGAATCGGGATATTTCTATTATGAAAATTGAATGTTGCGCCACATTAAATGAAAAACTAACGCAGTTTTGGCAGTTAAATTCAATGGGGATAAATGATACTCACAGTGGAGATTTTAAATTTAAAGAGGAATTTATTTCTCAATTCGAAAGTAATTTAAAATATGAAAATGGAATGTATACAACTAAATTATTGTGGGACAGTAAACCAGAAAACTTGTATAACAATTTTGCGGTAGCAAAACAAAGATTTCATAACTTAAGTGTAAAATGGAAAGAAAATGATTGGGATTATAATGAATATAAGAATATAGTTAAGGAGCAATTAAAACTGAATATCATTGAAGAATGTCCTTTCGGCTTAGAAGAGAATTCTTATTATATGCCTCATTTAGCTGTCGTAAGATCGGATAGGGACACTACAAAAGTCAGATTGGTTTTCGAAAGTCATCAAAATCGTCATCAAAAGGTAATGAGTGCAAATTTCTTAATGAATGCTTGAATCCTGGACCACCGTTGAATCCCAGAATTTTGGATGTAATCTTGCGATTTCGAGAATATGAATATGCATTCAGCTGTGATATTCAAGGAGCATTTTTGACCACAGGAATAGTGGAAGAGAATAGAGACTATTTACATTTTTTCTGGGTTCCAGATGAAAGTGATTCAAAAACTTAAAAAATTTTACGAATGACTCACGTTCTCTTTAGAGTGACATCAAGCCCATTTATCCTTGCTGCGACTATTAAATATCACATTAGAAAATATAAACTTGAACAAGCGAAACTTGTGAAATGCTTAACTCGGCACTTTATGTAGATGATCTTTTTTACGGAGCAAATACAACAGAGAAAACTTTAGAACTTTCACAGAGCATTGTAAAAATTCTTAAAGATGCGAACATGAATTTAAGAAAATTTAATACTAATTCGGATGAGTTGAGAAATTTATGGAGTGAACGAGGTTTTGTCTGATGTGACAGAAACTAAAGAACGTCCTTTGAAGGTTTTAGGCATAATATGGAACACCGAAGAAGATACTTTTAAGTTAGATGTAAAACCTCTACTGGACATGACCTGTGATAGGAAGAATTCAAAACGTAGTGTACTTCAGACAGCTTTGAAGTTATTTGATCCTATGGGAATTGCATCACCTTTTATTGTTCTCATAAAATTATTAATGCAAGAAATATGGGAACTTGGTTTAGGATGGGATGATGAGCTATCATCAACTGACTTGAAGAAAAAATGGGATAATTGGTGCTCTCAGATTTATCTGATAAAAGATTTGACAATCGAAAGGAAATATTTCTCCATACCATGGAAGTTGGTGAAAGAATTAGAACTACACCTATTTTCTGACGCTTTTGGTTTTGTTGTATAGATATTCTTGTTTAATATATGGGTTTTTTCGCATACAATTTATTGCTTTAACTTAGATTTTGTCGTTTCAACTTTGTTTAACATGTAATATCTTGAATTAGATAATTCAAATGCTCTTTACAGCTTTAGCTATTTATTACCTGTCCTTTTATTATCATTCTATTTCAAAATTTGCAGCTCAAAGCACAATTTTTGACTAACTAGGTCCAATTTTTTTTTATGACTAACTAGGTCCACATTTTTTATGACTTACTTCTTTTATATATATATATATATATATAAAAGTAGTAAATCGTAAACATATGTTATGGTAAAAGTAATAAATCGGTGATTATATAAAATTACTGGTGATTATACATAATCAGGTATATTTGATAAATTTGATAAATATGAAATAATTTATCATATTTGGTAGATATGATAAATTATTTCATATTTATCAAATTTACTGGTTAGTTTATAAAATCTCCGCGTCATAATAGGGACTGTGATAAAAGTCCCTAACGTTATAAAAATTCGTTCAGTTTGCGCAACTGCTTGGCTTCTATCAACACGTGACAACTACATGATTTCAGAAGTAGCTCTCATTTCGTTGCATGTAGACGACTTTTTCGCTTCCCTCTTGTAAAAATTAAAACACTGAATAATGGCTGGTATGCTTGAGCGTTTTAATTCCAAATTACTTAATATTATGGATACTAAGAAAACAAACAGTGGTTTTCTGACAAAAGAAAGATATGATGATTTGTTAAAAAAAAAAGTGAATAATAGTAAAAACAAAAGTAGTGGGAAAAAACCGGAAGATTATCAGAGACTAAACAGATATGATGTAATGAAAGTAGACAATGTTGAAAAACTTATCTTTCCCGTAAGTGAAGACAGCTCCAATGTTACATTTTATGTGTACTTTGAAGAAATTTTTACCATAATTCATGAAAAGGAATATATTTGTTGTGACTTACAATCATCATTCCACTTCCTTGGAGATTCAGGAGCAACACTGCCTAAGATAAATAACCGAGTAGTATCAATGCCATGTTCATCAATTACTTCCTGAAGAAAGATGTAATAAAAATTGATTCCAGAATATATAAAAATTTAATCTGATCATGAAGATACATTTGGTCTGGTTCCAGCAATTTATACACCCTAGGCCAGGGATGGTGAACCTTTTTTAGTTAGTGTGCCAGTTATGGTTTATTATTTCCACTTGCCATTTAGTTATTAACCACACTCCCACTTGTGTTCATTACTGAGTCTGCCTTTGATGGCCACTAGTCTTCAGAATTTTTTTTAATGTTATTTTCAGTGAATGTAAGTGAATAAAAGCAATTTAATATGCACCTGTAGCATGCCAGAAAAATACTTATCAGGTGCCACTAAGTGGTGCACATGTCATCAGTTTGCCATCCCTGTTCTAGCGATTACAGTACAATTCTATTCCATATATGAGGCATGTGCAGAAAATAGCCAATTTTATTTTTACATAAAAGATCATTTCTTGAACAATTTTTCTACATTGTTCTCACCAATTTTGAGACATTTTTCATAAAAGTTTCGAACTTACCTATGCTTTCCTCAAAAAGAAATTCCTGCAATGATTTCATATATATATAAAAAAAAAAAAAAATGACAATGAAATATGCCAGTCTCTTAAAAACAGTGACATAAGAAATACGATGAAAAATTGTTGCCAAACCCATATGTCTAAAAGAATGAAACTATTCAAAATGATGCGATTTCATCAAAAATCTATCAACAACAATAAGACAGGAAAATTGTTGCCAAAATCACATTTTTAAAGATGTGAGATGTGAGAAGTGTACTCGGAAGCTTTATTTAAAAAATTGTTTAAAAATACAAAATATTATCATTTTTCCAAAATTCTTTTTGTAACAGCAGTCGCAAGGATGAAAGTTTAACATGTCCAAAAATCAAAGAAAAATAAACTGTACATTTTAAAAAATAAACTTTTTTTGAAAAAACTCCCATTGAAAAGATGTTAAGCTCCCTTTGTTAAATAAATTCGTATTTAATCGATGTATTAAAACATGAAATTTATTTTAAGTTCGTAAAATAACTAAGTGCCTACGTTTCATGACGATGTGAAAATGGAGTGTGTAGAGTAAAATCTCGCTTTCCTATAGCCCATTATGTCTCAAAATGACGCGATTTCATCACAAAAAATGAAATAAAAAAAATTCTAATTCGAATTTCAAAAAAATTGCTTCAAGGTGCACTGGCTCTTGTATAGATGCACCTAAGCATGAACGAAAGACACACACACACAGACAGACTCTTTCTTTTATTATATGTAGAGATATTCAAAGAAAGTGAAAACAAACGAATTAAACACGTTTTCACTGACACTGAAATTGGTGACATGAAACCAAGCCACCACCTATTACAAAAAATGAAATCCTTGGCAACCCAATGATATTTCTGACATAGAATTAAAAACACTATAGACTGAAAAATTGCCAATGTTAATCACATATTGGTGGTTAGTGATGAAGGTATTGATAAATTGGTGATTATGGCTGATAAGATTTTTGACATGCATTCACAAACTGAAGTATATGAAGGTTCAAAGCTCATTAAACTGAAGTTAAGAATTTGAGTTCATCACAATTACCGCAGAAGATAACATCATTGGAATGGCAAACTGGAGAGCTCCATTTCTATCACTAACCAAACGAAAGGTGTCATAATACAAAAATAAATAACAGATCATTACCTAGAAACAGAAGAAATCGGACGCATTACAACCTGAATGGCAAACTTTGTTATTTCCATTTTACATTCAGATCAAGATGCTTTCCGGAAAAATGCAAGCTACCACGTAACTGGAAAAACCAGGAAAACTTGCCAGCACATCAGAATCAGAAGCTGGTTCTCTTGTTGATGATTTAAAGAATTGCCATGAATTCAATTATACTTTTTTGTAACTGCCAAAAGCAGGGATAAAATTTTTGATTGACATTGGTGCGGATGTAAGTCTAATTCCAGCCATGTGTAACGACAAAATAAGAGGCGACTTTAAACTTTATGCTGCAAACGGTACTGAAATTTCATGTTTCAAACACAACATTTTAACTCTTGATTTGGAAATTCGCCATGATTTTCAATGGCTATTTACTGTAGCCACAGTCAATGAAGGTATTTTAGATGCAGATTTTCTTAAGCAGTTTAATTTATTGACTGATATTAAAAACAAAAAATTAATAAAAAAATTGATGGTGTAACTAAACTGAGCAATATTGGTGAAATTACATCATCAGCTGATAAATCAATCAAATATAAGCACCTTAAACAAAAGTCATAAATTACCTAATATTTTGATACAACTGTGAAAACAACAAAACTTGATTTACTATTTTCTATTACAAAATGAAATGTTGAGCATTATATAACTACTAATGGCAAACCAGTTTATTCAAAAGCAAAACAGTCAGATACTAAAGGATTAGAAATAGCCAAACAAGAATTCGACTTCATGCTTGAAAACAATATTCTAAGACCTTCAAAATCACCATGGGCAAAACCCACTTCATTTAGTCACAAAGACAGACAGAACTTTGAGACAATGCAGAGATTATTACTACTTAAATGATATCCCTGTACCAGATTGCTACCCTTTACCCAGAATTGAAGACTTTCATCACATTTTAAAAGGCAAGAAGATATTTTATAAATTTGATTTACTACATAAAGCCCATCACCAAATTCTAATAGCAGAAGAAGATAAACAAAAAACAGCAATAATAACATAATCTAAACAAAAACAAACAAACAAACAAAAAGCAATAATCTGGACTTTTTGAATTTAATGTAATTCGTTTCGGTTTAAGAAATTTCTCCCTTCACTTTTCAGTGATTCATGAATACAGTAACTAGATTTTACTTTTCCATATAAGGATGACAATCTAATAGCATCAGAAACTCAGGAACAGCATAAAGACCATCTTATGGAAGTGCTTAATAAAATTCAACAGTATGGTCTATGCATCAACCAATCGAAATCAGTGATGACAGTGAACAAATCAGAATTTTTAGGATATTTGATAATGCCAAATGGCTCAAAACCTCTTCTAGAAAAAGTACAAGCCATAACAAATTATAAACTTCCTAAAACTATTCATGAACATTGTAAATTTTTAGGAATGAGTAACTTTTACAGAAGATACTTAAAAGATGAAGCTAATACCCAAGCTCCCTTGAATGAATATTTAAAAGGTTCAACAAAAAAGATTGAAGGGAAATTCTATCAACAGAAGAAGCAAAGTCTTTGAAAAATGCGAAGATTTAGCCAGTGTTGCTTTATTAATCCAGACCTAACATTAGTTTTATGTACACATGCCTCTAATTTTGCAATTGGATTTGTTCAACAGCAATATGAAGATACATGAGATTGCAAACCAGTAGCACTCTGTTCCAAAAAGTTAAGTGACACTCAAAAAGCTTATTGCACATATGACTGGCAACTTTTAAACATCTATCTTTCCACAAACAATTTAAACATATGCCAAAAGGATAAGAAGTTATGATATTCACAGATCACAAGCCACTTGCATTAGTATTTAAACAGAAAAATGATAAAGTGCCACCAATATAATTAAGGCAGACAGCTCCAGTACATTTCTCAATTCTCAATAAATATAAAATATATAACGGGGAAAGATAAAACTGTTGCAGATTTGATGTCTAAAATTGAATCAGTTTTGAACATTGATTATGTCAAAATTGCAAATGAATAAATGAATAGTGAAGAACTAAAAGAATTACTAAATAGTAGCAAAAATTTAAATTTTAAACAATACCCACTAATCTTCTGGAAAAATTATCTGTTCTGATGTTTATTCAACCGTTCACACCATAACCATTCTGAATGAATGTTTTCCACAAAATATATGACTTGAACCATCCTGGCATCAAAACATCAGTGAAACAAGCAACATCAAGGTTCATCCGGAAAAATATTAAAAAAGATGCTAGAGAAAGCACTAAAACTTGCATTAGTTGCCAGAAAAATAAAATTATTCGGCACATGTATTCTAAATTCAACTCACCAAAAGAGCCCAATGAAAGATTTAGCATTGTCCATATCGACATAATTGAATCCTATCCATCATTAAATGGGACTAAATACTGCTTAACATGCACTGATAGTTTTACTTGCTGGATGGAAGTTATACCAATACAAAATATTATCACAGAAAAAATAACAAAAGCATTTTATGTAAATTGGATTTGTTGCTTTGATGTTCCATACAGTGTGGTCACAGACAGAAGAAATCAGTTGAGATCAGAAATTTCAGAAATTTAGGTTTTATCTGTGGGATTAAAATGCAAACAACAACTTCTTATCATCCACAATGCAATGGAAAAATTGAAAGATAACAGAGAACATTAAAAGTAACCATTAGAGCTCACAATTCGGTCAAATGGAGTGAAACTTTACCAACTATACTCCTTGGTATATGTGTATCTCAATGTGGTGATACCAACTGTTCCATTGCAGAAATGGTTTATAGTAAATCACTGATGTTACCAGGAAAATTCTTTCATGAACCAAAAACCAAATTAGAAGCAGATATCTTCATTAGCAAACTGCAAATATAAATGGAAAAATTAAGATCAATTAAAAGCCAATCAATGTAAAAGAAAACAAAAATTATTTTCTCCATAAGGATTTAGATCCATGTTTATATGTATTTGTCAAGAAAACATTAGAATCCCCCTTATGAAAAACTTTTCCTGTAAATGCCAGAAATGAAAAGTAATACAGTGAGAATAACAGGAAAGGACATCAATATTTTCGTCAATCTAATAAAACAAACTTATTTATTAGCCTCAGTTGAAGATGATTCTCAAAACCTAACAAATAAACAGAAACAAAATACCCCATTCCACGGACATGAAAATGTAAAGAAGGAAGATTCAAAATTTAAAACAGCAAATAATAGGAGAAAAATTACTTTTCCAGCACATTATTATGATTGCATGAACATTTAAGTTATATACTAATTTTTGATATTGAGGTGATATTAACAACTATTTTTCTCCTTGTATAACAACTATGTTTCTTGGAAGGGAAGAAGTGTACCCTCTACAAATGATATATAATCTTAGTTTCAACAACTTTATACAGACTGCGAGTGGCAATGGTAAAAATATATGATTAGAAGAATCATGTTTTAAAAAGATCAATGTCTTAGAAAGTAATAAATAATTTTCTTTGAAAAAATAATAGTGAAAAGTATTCTTAAACAGATAAATACCATTTTTTGATGTAGCAACTGCTACAGATACTGATCAAGAGAAAATTCCAATATATTTTGAACTAGTTTTGTTCATACAATATAAGGCATATAAAAATCATATATTAAGTATCACCAAATTTTTTCCAATGTGCATACAGTGACAAAGTACTCACTTGAGGGTTTATTCCATTATGTTTAGATTTACTCATTTTCTCCCATGTTTCTATGACAGGAGTACCTGATGATTTTTCTGTGGGAATTGATCCTGAAACCCAAAATATTTTTATCAATTCAAATATCTCTTTGGGTAAGTAAGAAATAATGAATATTTATTAAATTTTATTAAAATATTAATATGTAGGTTATAGCACTATTTTCAGTAGGTCTATAGTCAGTTTCACACAGGTTTAAATTTAAGCAAATTCTTCTATATACTATATTCAAAACCTCTAAAGTCAAAAGATGGCAAAATATACTTTAAGTTCCTGAAACTAAAAATTGTAAGATATACGGCAGTTCACAGAACTGCATTTTTAAGAATTCAGTGGTATAGAGTAAGAATCAAACTAGTTTCATGCTAAAAATAAGATATTCTTGACTCAACGACCAAAATTCCATGTTTAGAAAGAACACCAAAAATTATCTACAAAAATGATGCAATACTATGAGTATATGAATAAATTTTTTAATGACCAGGGTAATTTTTTTTTTTTAAAATTAAGTTTTTTTTTTTTCATTTAGACTTTATTGTTGCTTAAGCTACAGTAAAATTAAGTTTAATTTATTTCATCATTATTTCTGTATTTCCATTAATTGGAAAATTTTGTTTTTTGTTTGTGATATCTGAAAACCTTCAAATTTGCAGCTATCATCATAACACTCAGCCTGCATTCATTATAATCTGTTCACGATGTACCATGACATTGGCTATTAAATACATATTGTTCCACTAAAGTTTTTCTTGCTTCTACTGCATGCTAATGAAACTAAGCCTAAATTATATTAGTTAATTATTATACCAATGACTATTTGCTGCACATACTTAAGCTTTATCGGAGTCCTGAATAAATAAATTCCCACATATACTTATGGCTTATTTATGGTAGTGCTAGACATTTTTTGACCAGTAAAGTATTTGCAGGTCCTAAATTCTGCAGGCTGGTGCAACCACATCAGCTCTGCAGCCAATCTTGGGCTTATCTGTATAAAAAATCAGATATTCTATATTCAAACAGTGCTAAATATAATATTTTGGCCAATGAGTATCATTTACAAAATCTATTTTTTGCATATGAAAAGAAACTTCCACTAAATTCCTCCTGGTCATTAGTCAACATAAAAGGTTACTATGCCATTTGATATTCAATTACTAATTAATATTTTGAAAAACGTGTTCATATATCAGTCATTTCTCAAGCTGTCATATGTTGATAGTCATGCATTAATGAAAGCAAAAAAGTAACAAATAATGATTCACCAGGTTGCATCAGGGATGAAAATTATTCAGTAAGTGTAAAATCCATGACGATGTTTCCATGTAGAATGTTTCAGTTTGAGATGTATGCCAAGCAAAAATTCTAGTACAGAGCCAAGTTAAAAATTATTGGTCATACATATTAATGCTAATAAATGAATGGAAAATTTAATATGAAGGGCTTCAGTAAGAAGGTATTTTATTTAGTGTTGAAGTAAAACTAAGACTCATGACTAAACTAATCAAATTAAGAACTCTCCACGTGTTTTATTATGAAAAAATACCAAACACACATATGCAAAGCATGCAAAAACAAATTTCTAAAAAAAAAAAAAAAAATTATTGCTGGTGGTTCAGAAGTCTGGATTTTAGACCATTCTGTATATTTTAATGTCTGGATTTCAGGCTTTATATAGCATATGCTGATAAAAAATCGGCTCTATAAGTGTTGAGAGTTGATTTTATCTGAAAAATGACAGAGTTATTTTTTCTTATTTTTATTATGTCTACAGTGCCATTCTGGACAGATCATTTGCTTTTGAGTGACTGAAATTTCATTAACTATTATTATAGTAGCTTTTGTACAGTTCTATATGTATATTCAGATATGGAAATAGGCATTGAAGTATGCATCATGTTAAATATTTGACTTTATTTTAATGTTTGAAATTGAAATATTATTTAGAGATTGAAGGGATTTGATTTGTATGGAGTTCTTATTTTTTTCTTTCAAGATATGGTAACTCCAACAAGAATAAGTTGTATTTTCAAGCATATAAGTAACATAAATAAACAAAAATAAAACAATTCTTTAATCATTTTTTTTTTGTTTGTTTGCATTTTATGGGTTAAAATTTTTTTTTTTTTTAACTGTAGAATCCTTGCTGGAAAAAAACTTTCTCCTTTCTGTTACATTAATCTGCTGAGCGGCTTGATAGCTCTGAGCTGTCATAAAAGTCTTTTGTCATTTGGTACATACAATCTTATTATTTAAAGTATTTTACTTTTTTAATTTTCTTCAGTGATCCACATATTCTCTTAATGAATAAATGTTTATAAAAACACAGGCTAAATACAGTTCCTCCTAAGCAGATCCGAAAAGTCTTACTACTCAGAGGGTTAAACAAATAAATGGCTTGCTGTATAAAAACAACCTAGTTAGTCTAAATAGTTGAAATTCTACTGTATTTTCAACACTGCATATTCTACATTAAAAAAAATTATTATATCTAAGAAATAAGCACTGACTTAACTATTGGCAGGAAAATTAAAATAGTTAAAATTCTAACTTTTATATAATACCTGAAAAATCAACTTCTTCTTTAGGAATATATTTTCCGCTGCCTTTTACTCTGTAAGATTTTCCCATTACCATGCCTTGCATTAGTAACTGCACAAATGGCTCTGGATGCTTTAGCTTTCCAATGGAGTACAAAAAATGGCAAAGAAATCGAGCATAAAATAAATGTAATGCAGCTGTAAAACAAAACAGTGATTTAGAAATGAGGCATTCAAAAAACTTAAAACATGCATTGCAAAATTTATAATTATATATTAAAAAGACTATCTCAAAGTAAACTTTAATTCCAAAATAATCAGTTTACTCACACAATAAAAAATTTCATAATTTCTTATAAATTTATTGGATGCAAATTTTTTAAGAAAGATCATTTTTTGAAATTGCATTGCAGGAAAAGTTCTTTAACACTTGCATTTTTTTAAAAATAACTGTTTTGTTAACACTTAGCAACATAGAATCTTCAAATTACCCCCCCCCAACCAAAAAAAACTGAATTTTTTATAAAATTATATATTACAGTCAAAAGTCATTAATCCGGACGCCCATAATCCGGAATGATCTATAATCCAGACCTCAAAGCTACAAACTTTCTGCGCATGCGTCAACGCATTAATGCATTGATGCATGCGCATAATATGTTTACGCATGCGTGTTTAATGTATAACGGATGGTATAAGCTAAGCTAAAATGATCTAATTAGCTATTTCAGTTAATGTTGCAGATTGCGTTGTTCCTTAATCTTCAAATTGGATCCGGCTTATTATTTTTTGCAGACTGTTAGGCCAATTTTATAAAAGTAAGCTTGAACTTTCGATTATGTCAAAAAGAATTTCCGATTCTGGAGCTGCCAAAGGATATCTACAAAGCGAAAGCACGTTTCGATGTCCATCAAACAAAAAGTGGAATTGCTGCAAAAAAATGATAAAGGCATATCCTTTGTTTCTCTAACCATTCCGAAATCTGTTTATCGTTTTCATGCTGCTCTGCAGAGGAGGGGAACATCGCGGCACACAATGAACTGAAAGTTTATCTGTCAGCACTATCCTTTTCTTCAGAGCAGATGTTTTCATTTTATTTGGCTTATAATTCATTACTAAATGTAGTATTTCATCTCGATGTACTCTGTCTTTGATATGATTTAAATCAAATTCATTATAAATATCACGAATACACATCAAATAGTTTTCTGGTTGCAATTTTCTAATTTCAACTATGCGTAATGTATGCTGTAAACATGCGTGCATTGAAAGAATGTTTAATAAAGTAAACAAATAAATATTAAGCTTTTTTTTTTTTTTGTAAATTTTGATACCCTTTAGATCATAATTGTTCTATAAATCATAAATTATGGTTTCATATTTTTAATTTTATAATTTCTGCATGCCATCTTACCAGATTTAAACTGATGATCTATAATCCGGAAAAATCGATAATCCGGAATCACCGAAGTCCCGACGAGTCCGCATTATAAAGACTTTTGACTGTATTTGTTATGTTTTGAATTGGAAATTTGTTTTTCAAAATGACTTTGAATGGTCAAAATATGTGTTTAGATACAGTCACAGGCTTTTACAAACTGCATCTATAATTTTTATAAAAGTTAAAAAACATTGACATCAGCATTGACATCTGAGTTCGATCAAATTAGAAAAGAAAATAGCCAATGTAAAATTTAAAGATTTTTTTGGCTCATCAAGAAGATGGACCTGACTAATGACCTTCAAAATCAATAAAGCATAAGGATACTTTTTCGCCTAATTTTACATATGTTATAATGTCATTAATTTGGAAAGTGTTTCAACAACTGAGCATCTAAATTAATTATGAAATCTAATATAGTTCACCTTTTTATGAAGTCATTAAGGAGTATGAATATATCAACTAGTTATGCTACTCAACTATTTCTTTAAAAAAAACTGAATTTTTAACTTTTATTAATTTATAAAACTAAAAATATTTAAATGATACTTAAGCAAAAAAATTATTAACAAATAAATAAATAAAAGTTTCTCAGAAAAACTAGACACTAAGACAAAACACCAAAAACAGTAAAGTTAAAATTCAATTTTAAATAAAAATATTGCAATGTAAAATTAAATCTTTAATATCAAAACAAAAAATATGCTGCACAACTTGCAAAAGTATACATATATATTTTAAGAATTTGAGCCATTTAAAACCAGTTTCCAAACATTTCTATATATTAATAGTATATAACTTTTAATGCAATTCCACATGAAACACAAGCCATTTTTAAGCATTTAAAATACTGGAATTACCTCAGAGCTACTGGGAAAAATAACAAACACGAACAAATAACATTACAAAACGAAAGTAATCACAAGCATTATTGAAAGACTCGCATCAAGTTATATATTGAAAATAATATACAAAAGAAATTATGACTTCTTATATTTTGATGCAAACATTTTGCACACATATTTTAAGCATTTAAAGCCATTTGGAGAAAAGTAACCCCTATTCCCAAATAGCATAAATACAGAGTCCATCATTTTAATTCTATTTCTTAAAAAAGAAAAAAAGATAAAGAAAAAAGAAAGAAAGGAGAAGAAGAAACATTTTATATATCTAAACAACTGGCATTCTCAAAATTGTAAATGAAAAGTACATCATTTTCAAAGCATTTTCTTAAAAATGCCATGTTTTTTATGCCTGTAAAAATGTGCTACAAAGTGCAAGATCCAAAACTGTAAAAACTCCAGAAATTTCCAGATTTCAGATCAATTTAAATCTAATAAAATGACATGTAGAAATTTATAAAATTAAAAATACAAAACAGTTGTTTATGAAATAATGAAACCTTTATGATCTTAAAGTGAATCAATTTAAAAAAAAAGGCTCAATATTTATTTATTTATTTTATTAAACTTTTCTTTCCATGTAAGGTGCTTAAGCTGTTTAGTTTTTTGGACTAATACTTTCAGATACTTTTCATAAAGGCATTTATGAAATAATGAAGCACAGAAATCATGAAGAACATACAAAACTATTATTACTGTCATAATATTTACGCATGTTTTCAGTAACTTTTCACAAATAACCAATGAAATTCTATCATTATTTAAATTTATGGTATCTTTTTGTTATAACAGCCCCCCAGATTGAATCGGCAATCAACTGAGATGCGTTATCGTGTGACTGTATATTAGCACTGGCTGTGTGTTCTTCACCACGCAGTTATAGTAATCACATATTAGCACTGTGTTGCATCTTTGCTTTCACACTGTATACTTACGTTATTCATTTTTTATGAGGTTTTCAAATTTGCATGGCTTCATTTATTTAAATTTATAGTCTTTGCTTTTTACTTCCCTGTACAAAGTAAAAAGGAAGTATTGTAATTGCAAAAAGTTTCAGGCATCATATTTCAACGCAAATATCCATTTTCACCACTATCGAATGCAATTTAACGATGTTTTTGCGTGATATCTGTACGTAAGGACAGAATAAAGGACTCTTTTTCCCCAAAAAATTGTAAAACCAATTTAAAATGAATTCTGAAGAGAATTTTTCATGGCGTCTGTGCGTACTTACATATGTATCTCGCATAACTCAAAAAAAGAGTAGCCTCAAGGACGTTGAAATTTTGCATATAGGATTGCTATAAAATGTAGATGTGCACCTCGTATTTTGGTTGCTATCGGCTGCACCAAAAGTACATAAATATATGTATATACATATCCAATCTGTGTTGCATCAGTGGTCTCAGTGATCTCAGGCTCAGTGATCTCAGTTTCTTTATTCTTATATGTTTGTAAATTGTGCATTTTTTGCTTAAAAAATGATTGAATTACGCTATTCTTATCTTCTGGCAGGGCCGGATAAAGGGCGTTTGGAGCGATCAGGCCCCGCATTTGAAAGGGCCCCGCATTACCATCAAAATGAACAAAAAAAATTCTAAATTTAAAGCAAATTGCTTTGGACGATAATGGATAAAATATGAATTATTCAAATAATTAAAAATATATTTATTTTAAGTTCACATTACTAGATGAGGTTTATTATTATATAATATATACTTTATAATATAGAAAACTAATACCCGTAAAAGTTCATGTCAAATGTATTGAATTTAATCGGGATAGTCCTATATTAGAGAGATTTTGCAGTACGTACGTGAACTACTTTATGTACGTAAACTACTATGCAGGTATATGCGCGCGCAACCATACCAGCCAGTGGTGGATGTATAACTAGTATAAAATGTCAATTGTTTCTTGCATTTGTAGTTTTATATTCAATTTATATTCAATAAATGTTTTTGCGTTTTGAACATTTTTATTTTTTAATTTATGTAGAACTTTACCTGTCTGATGATCCATGACATTTGATATATATATATATATATTGAATTTGAATTTTATTTAGATATTTAATAAAAAGAGAGGGCCCCGCAAAAAAAATCCAATCGGGCCCTACACCAATTCAATCCGGTACTGTCTTCTGGTTAAGGTTTTTATGCCTTTATTAAATCTGTATGCAATATTTTTAAAATTATCAACAATTTAAAAGCTGTTTCAGTGTAGTTAAGCCTAATGTTTAAATAACATGGCGGACATGTTTGTTTACATTTGAAACGGCAGAATAGTAGATTTGTTGCCAATCTAAAGAGACTAAGCTTCGCAATAACAAAGATAACGCCTTCAGTTATGATTACGAATTAAATCATGCTTAATCCTTTATGGAATTTCTTTGAAGAAATAAGTGTTTCAGATTTACTTCGTAATTTTTAATATAGATATTTTGAGTTTTTTATGTATTTTTCTCTTGTTGTGAAGTGAGAACTGAATTAATTGAATAAGAAATACTGAATCGTCTGTGAAAAACTGTTTCTATTTTGTTTTGTTTGCTTAATTTCTTTTATACATCTAGAAGTATTTGAATAGAACATGTGGCAATGATCAGATAATTCTTCAAATGATATAATTTTGTGCATTCTGAGTTAATATGAACGAAATATAATGCTGTTAAGTGAACCTAGTGCCAGAGTGTCGCTATGGTAAACAAATATAGTGAATTTTAAAGAGTGCATTTATTCTATTGTGATTTATGTGCTATCGACGAAGTAGATTTTAATTCACGTTATGGTAAACAAATACAGTGAATTTTAAAGAGTGCATTTATTCTATTGTGGTTTATGCGCTATCGACAAAGTAGATTTAATTCAATCTAATAAGTTTAAATGAAATGCAAGAAAAAGTGCATATAATTTAACATTTCGTATAAGGAAGTCGTGGTGTATACATCAGATTGTTTTATGAATATGATGTTAACAATCTTTAATTTACCAAGTAATGAGGCGAACATCATATAATTTTTTCAAGAAACAGGTCTTTTACAAGACAAGTGAGTATGCAAAAATGTCCACAACAGGATACTTTATGTTAAGGGTGAAGCAATTTGAATATGCAATGTTAAAAATTGCAAAAAGAAGGGCTTCCATGCTGGAAATTGGTTCAGTGAATCCAGAATATTGTTCACCACTGCTATTAAATTTATGTATTCTTGGGCAGAAAAATTCATGTCCATGACATAGTGTAATAAACAACTTAATGCATGAGAAAGTAATGCAGTTGACTGGAACAATTACATGTGATTAAATAATAATTATAAGGATTATTATTATATAATATGTTCTTTATTTTTACATTCACACCTTAGGAGTTTTGGAAATTATAGTTGAGATCTTGGCGTAAATCTAAAATTGCCAAATATCTTTGGGGGATACTATAACAAAGAAGTACCAAATTTATTTATGCATTATCCTATAATAATACATATTCTTACCATTCACACTGCTTACCATAAATAATTTTTTGATACATTTTCATGTATTGCACTAGAAACATAAGATTAATTATTTGAAAGATAAAATAACCTGTACCATGTTCTTTTCCACCAATATAGAGGTCAACTGGCATAGCATCACTAACTGTTTTTAGATCATACGGCTCTGATTCATTTTTGACATCTAAATACCGCAAAAAATACCATGAACTATCAACAAAAGTATCCATTGTGTCAGTTTCTCTTGCCGCTGGCTGACCACATCTGCAAAAAATATTTTTTGTATTATATTAGGATTACAGATAAATCAATGCACAGTACAAAATCCAAGATCCAAACTCGTCAGGACATCAGTGATACCGAATTTGGGATTTTTCCGGATATTAGATCATCACTCTAAAGCTATTGAGATGGAATGTAGGAATTGTAAAATTAGAAATATGAAATCATGATTTATGAAATGATGAAGCATTTATGATCTAAAGGGTATCAAAATTTACAGAAAAGCTTAATATTTATTTATTTACTTTACTAAACATTTTTTTAATGTAAGTTGTTTAAGTTGCTTCATTCTTTGTACTAATACTTTCTCTTTAACTCTATAGATAGATTAAATTTCTTGTTGAGCTACAAAGTTTCATTGTTCAAGTCCTGTAATTGCTCGTCGAGAATTCCGACTAACTTGCCAACCGAAATTTTTTCGTTTTGAATAAACCCTCTGTCACTTTCTTCACTATTGGTAGCAGTATTTTCCGGATCTAGAACCATGCTATAGATTTTGCTGTCCATCAATTGATTGATGATTGGGGCATATTCATGGCAATGAAAAACTTCTATTATATCATCTTCATTCATTACCACTTCTTCACATTTCTTTACAAAATCTTATTAAATGGAAAATTTCACCTTTGGTTTGTGATATCTGAAAACTTAAAATCTGCGGCTTTCATCTTCATATTCCTCACCATGAAATATAGTAGCTGGCCATAAATTTTTTTAAAGTAGCATTTTTTTTTTTTTTTTTTTTTTTTTTTTTTTGAATAGTTGGAGACACATCCTCCCACAATTTTGCGATGCTCCACACAGCAGATTGTATGCTAAAATATTTCAAAAATTCTTGAATAGTCTTGCAATTATTCAAGAAATTTAACATGGACTTTAAAAATGATGTTTTGTATTTGCATTTCAGCAAGTGCACTATTCTGATATCCATAGACTGAATGATATTGTTGGAGGACACCATCATTCAGCCTATGGACAGTTTGGCAGAAAGAATAATAGGGATACATTATCTTACACTAAACCTTTAAGTGAAGTAAGAGCCATACAGTTGTCTACAATCAGGAAATTTTTGTGTTACAAGGTAAACCAACCAAATTCAAATGTTGTTGAGACTCTGGTATAAAATGATTTTCAAACCAATCATTCATTAACGTTTGTTTCATCCATGCTCTTTTATTTGCATGATATATAATGGGGAAAAACTGTACTCCTTTAAATGTTCAAGGTCATGCATTTTTTCTGATTATGAAAAGTTTACATTTGTGTGGCCCTACAGCATTTGCACATGCTAAAATTGTTAGTCTTGCTCCGGAAACTTTAACACCAGTCAGAGCCTTTTCTGCACAGGTTGCCATGGTATTTTGTGGTACATATTGCCAGAAAAGACCAGTTTCATCCCTGCTGCAAATTTGTTCTGGATATAACTTTTCACTATTAATGAGTTCAATTAATTCATCTGCAAATAGTTCAGAAGCTACAGTATCAGCTGAAGCTTTTCAACTGAAATTTTTAATTTCCTTATAACATGGCGATTTTTTAATTTTGTTAACCAACCTGTTGGATATGTGCACTCAGTTTCTAAGTTCATTTCTTAATGAAATATTTTGGCTTGAGCCATAATCATTGAGCATGTCAATGGCATGCCCTTACTGCGACGCCGTGTGACCCATTCAATCATCACTTTTAGCATAACGAATAATTTTTCTCTTATTCATTAAAGTGGGCTGTCGGAATCCACGAAAAATTCAAAAAGTTCCTTTTTCTGTTTTCTTATGTCCTATACAGTTGACTTTTTAATGCCATACTCGTCGCATAATTTTGAGACGAATATACTGTTATCCATTTTTTTGCAGAAATTCTACTTTTTGTTTAATGGACATCGAAACATGCTTTGTAGATCCTGTTGCAGTTCCAGAATTAGAAACTCTTTTTGATATAACTGAAAGCTCAAACTTTAATTTTCATAAATTTGCTGTAATAATGAAAGCCTGCAGGAAATAATAAGCTGGATCAAATCAGAAAGTCAAGGAACAGCTCAATCTGCTATATTAACTGAAATTCCTTGGAATCAGTAAAGTATAATTTTAGTCAAGCTTAATAGTTTCTGCTATACATTATTGGCTAAGTATCATGAGATTGGCAATGAAAAGCAAGTTGTTCTGCTAAATTTTGTCTTGCTTCTATCATGCACTGAGACGATTAAGCCTGAATTGTATTAGTTTGTTATTTATTATACTTACGATTTCTTGCACATGCTTAAGGCTTACCTCAGTCCTGAATAAATAAATTCCTACATATACTTAAGGCTTATCGAGAGCCAGTGCTAGATATCTTACCTCCTGATGCAGTCTCTGCAGGTCCTAAATTCTGCTACCAAGCGCTTGCCTAAGTTCTAAATTTTCACCGTCCCTAAATTTTGGATCCCAGTGCTTTCCCTAAAACCTAAAAATTTTGTCATCCTTTAACTCTGTTGCTTGGTGCTTCTCTAAACTCCAAAAATGTTGTCTCCCCTAAATTCTGCTGCCTGGTGCAGCCATATGAGCTATAGTGCCGGTTCTGGGTTTATCTGAATAACAAATTAGTTATTCTTAATTCAAATAGCACTAAATGTAATCTTTTGGCCTATGAGTATCATTAACAAAATCTATTTTTAGCATATGGGGAAAATTTTTTTCCTCATCAACATTTCTTAGTGCATTTAACTTAAATCTGTAATTGTTGCCAAGAGTAATGTCAACAGAAAAGGTTACCATACTCTTATATAATTACTAATATAAAAAAATATTGTTTCGGCACTTCTGCATGAGTCATTACTCAAGTTGTCATGTATTGGATAAACATGTGGTGATGAAAGCAAAATTAAATAATGATTCGCCAGGTTGGCGTCAAGGATATAACATATTAGTAGGTGTAAAATCAACGATGTTCCTATGTAGAATGTTTCAGTTTGAGATGTATGCCAAGCAGATATGCAGCTATGGAGTCAATTATTGATCACATAAATTTATGCTAAAATGACTGTTTCTTAAATAATGAGTTATTTTATTTAGTGCGGAAGTGAAATTAATTGCCACATGTTTTATCATGGGGGGGGGGAATCACATGCGCATGAAGGGGTTCTTGGTGGCTTTGAGGTCCGGATTTTAGATCATTCCGGATACTTAACATCCAGATCTCAGATTTTATACTGTATTTTATTTAATTTGAATTTCTCATTAGTTCATATAGAATTAACTATTTTTTTTAAATATTTTTTAGTCAAATGATATGTTTAAAGATAATTAAAAAACTTAACACCATACTGTTAAGGCAATAAAATGAATACCATGAGGTTAAGGTCATGAGTTATTCACCTGATTTGCAGAGATTTAATTTAATTAGCAGAAAGTTGCTTTAAATATTTTTAGTTGCAGCAATTTGCAATTTTAGCAACTTAAAATAAATCAGATGAACCAAGAAAAGTCTATTTACAATTAATAATAAATAATATATTACTTTTTTTTGCAAACTATTTTAAAAATCAGTTTTACTCATACAGTGATTGAAATAAAGACATAAAACATTGCATAAAATCAGAAACATGAATAATTTAAATAATTTTTTTATAAATATTCCCAAATGTGATCATTGAAAGGTAAATGGTTAATTATATTAATAGTATAATATATAATTTGTCTCCATAAAAGCTATATGAAGAAGTACATATTATTTTTAAATGGCTCACTAATAAAACTAAATACAGACATAAATAAATTAAGCTGTATAGATTTTTAATAGATTCTCAGTTTTGCCTTGGGTGTAATTTTCTTCAAAAAGTGAAAAATAAAGTTCTCACCATAATCTAAAACACTCTTTTAATTATTATTATTTAAGTATGAATGCAAATCTACAAAATTACACTTACTTAGGACACGAAACTTCAACCCATTCAGTTGCAGATTTTAGAGAGCAACCTTTACCAGTAAACTCTGTTAATTTTGGTAAAAGTACAGGCAGATCTTCTTTTGGTACAGGGACCAACTAAGAAAAGTAATACTGTTAAAACAAAAATTTTACATGTACTGCTACTAGAAATGATAAACTATTTTATCATACATTTGTGTTTGCATCAATTTCAACTTCAGAAAAACTAACAATTACTTATATAAAGATTTCAGAATTCAAGTGACCTCAATTATATAATGTACAATAGAGCTTTTCAATTACAGGACAAAAGACACCAAATATTTTCTTATAGAAAGATAAATATACCAACCTGATATGTTTGGTGAGAAAACATTACAGCTGCTAGGTTAGTTATTGAAATAGCTAACCTAGCAGAACATATTTCTTATATTTAAAAAAATTTTGCTATAAGGGAAAAGATTCAGATTTATTATTAGTCTTAAAATAAGATGTTAAAAAAGTCCATGAAAAAAATTTAAGCTTTTGAAAATATGTTATATTTTTATTAATATTAATTACATAATATATACTATTAATAGACACTGCTTGCTGATGGAATATTACAAATATACAAATAGAAAAAATCCAACTATCTCAATCGATTTTGAACTAAATCAGTTTTTCCTGAATTTTTGGATACTTTGGAAACATTTTAAAAATCCAAATTTAACATTAAGCCCTTGGATCCCAGATGGAGCTGCCTTTGCATAAACTCATATTTCTCCTTTTCTACAATAAAAAACACACACTTGACAAACTTTATATAAACATATACCTTGAATACAACACACACAAAAAGGGACAGTTTTATATCTCCTGTTCTAATGGACCGATTGACGAAACAGAACTTGTTTTTTTCATGTCTCGAAAGCCCGACTTAGCATATATATGTATATTTATATATAGCATTGTTCTAACATGGGTATTTGGTCATGAAATCGAACCATTTTTTTCCATATTTACCTTCAGTGATGCCTTGGGAATACAAAGAGTTTCTGCAAGTTTTATATGTTAAAGTAGATAAGCAAACAATTTTGAAGAAAGTAATGTGAAAAATTGTACCACGTTATGGATCTCATTCGTATTAACTACCCATTTATTTGCTTACATCAATTAAAGACATCTCATACATTATACAAGAATAAAACATTTAGTATTAATTTTTTTCAAAACTTTAAATATGAGTTAAAAGAGAGCAGAAGCAAAGTAACATAATATTCATACATGAAATTCACAGAACATTATTACAACGATTTCAAGCGATGCTTGGATTGTAAGTAGAATTAAAACTCAGAGGAATTTTCTCTTGTGTGAAATGACTTTCGGACCCATATAAGAAGTAACATTATTTACTAGACTGTTATTTTAGCACTGATTTGAACTAATATTTCTTTGATGACTAAAGGCACTCAATCTCCTCACCCAAAGATATTACATCATCTGGGAATTTAAAAGCTGTGTCATATAAGATATTTATAGTATAATACTTCATTATGAGATTCCAAATATCTCAGCACAGAAATATTCATTCTGAAATAAAAAGTTCTCCCTGTTGAAGAGAAAATGGAATTGGATTCTTGAATATTGTCAATAAGATTTTTATAGAAGCTGCCTAGCCGATATAGTGGTTAGTGACCGAAACATCGTCTCATGGACCTCCGACCTAAGATTCTACACCAATCAGAGTTACATCCATGCGACGGAAAAAGAATCTAGCAGCGGTATTCATTGAATCAATGATAGTAATATTATAATGCTAAATTGACAATGTCATGTTTACAATAATTGTTACATAATAATCCATATGAAAAAATATAAACAATAAATTAATCATTACATTATCATGGATAAGATCTATGCTGTGAAGAGTGGAACTTATATATTAACCAGTCTCTAAACCTATGTCTACTTCCATACATCATAACTTCATGCTCTCATCAGTTACACACCTAATGGTGTGTGTCTCATCAGTTACACACCTAATGGTTGCAGTTATCCACAGAGTCACATCAGTTCAGGCAGTTGATAGTTCCAAAGCCCAAAGTTTATAATGTTGTGTAGAATATTCTATGTTCATATAAACTGGATTCAAAGTAAACTTTTGATAAATTAGAAGTACACTTTTGTTAAGTTCATTGTTCACGTAAATAGTTGTCCATTTTGACACGTCATAACTTCGTGTCCTTAGCAGTTTGCACACCTCATTATGCGTGTCCATAGCAGCTTGCACACTGTGTCGCAGTTGTCCACAAAGCAATCACGAAATTGCAGTTGGGAAGTTCATAGTAATATGTACACTATTTTACTATTATCTGCAGAAGAAAATGTTGTGTAAATAATAACTTGGCTCCCATATAAAAACAAACAAAACAACAGAAAAAAAGAAAGCTAATTCTTAAATTTTTTCAATACAATTAGTGGTTAGTGACACTGACTGCCATGGTTATGGGCTCAGCTTCAAATCCCACAGAATACATTTGTCCATCCCTTCATAGGAGACAACAGTAGCTACCTATTATGTTGCTTCTATAATTAAATAGCCACCACTTCCCGACCTTGTAGTGGAGCAAGGCTAAAGACAATTAAATAAAGTGTCCAGCCATTTAAAAAAAAAAAAAAAAGATTTCTACAGGAAATAATGGCATTTCTAAGTATCACCAGACAAGATACTGCTTTACTAGTCAATCTCAAACAGCTGCTTTTGTGAGGAATTCATTAGCATGTGGGACATGGGTGATAGTGGAACACCTAATCATACTCAATAGCTAAAACTTCCACGATTTTTCCAAATTGAAAGAAACAGTGATCGGAAAATAGCTTTTAACAAAAGAATAAATCCTCCAAGCATTTTATAATACTTGTATACTGACTTCACCGAAAATACCACCATTGATTACATTCAAATCTTCCAATGAGTAATAGAAAGTTATTAATACAACAAAACCCTGATTATCCTGACTAATTGGGGTAGAGCTATTTTGTTTGTAGTGGGGAGACTTTTTTGATAACCCACGGCAACTATTTTTACCAATTACAGGTGCAATAATGTTAAGCACTATCATATTATATTTACATGCATATATATTATTGCGTTCGTGGATTTGGAGTGATTGATAAAAACATTTGATAAAGAATCAAAACACAATTTATTGGTTAATATTACAGAAGTATTACGGGGTTACAATTGTCTAAAAACTAAGACAAGCATGCCGAAACAATCAGAAACACAGCCTTCAGATTATCAAGTTATAACGGTGAACACAGCTTCACGGCAAAAGACTAAATACAGCTCCCAACTCGGTCAATCACTCTTGGAGCTCAAGATACAACACCCGATACACTGCTACTCTCCATACAGGCAGGGTTTATCTAGCTTTTGATCTACCTTCAAGAACATTCTGGAGAAAACCCGTAAGAATTCGATCTAGAATGCTCTTGCACGGCGATGACATATCGCCAATTTTATCACCCAAAAGGGAGATTTCACATCAAATCTGGCAAATCTGCCTTTCCTTGTCACTTTCTGGAAACCCTAAACCCACTTTTTGGAGAAGCTATCTTACCACAGCTGGACATTTTGTAACACTGACCTCTCCCAAGGACTGCACGTCCTGGGCAATACAATCTTTGGTCAGAAGCCAAATTCAAAAGGTAACAAAATAAACAAATAAGGTAAAAAAAGATAATATAAACAAATATTTACACTATTTATTAGTTATATATACAAATTAATCACATAATAATTTTAAATTTTATAAGTTCACAATGAATTTCAGTCTCAAGTTTTTCATTAAGTTATACCCGGGTTAAATACTTTTTCACTGCAGTTCCCAGACGTATTTCTGTTTTCATTTTACAGTCTGAAGAATCATTCAGATATTTCATCCACAGGAAGATCTGAAACAGTTTGCTCACAACTCTGTAGTTTATTCACATCATATGTACAGTTCACATCGGTATTTTTAGCAGTTAATACTAACTTATTTTCTTCCTCTATTTCCTGAAAACCAGTTCCAATGTTTGCATTAGAGTTATGAACAGAATCTGATTCTTTACAAGCAGAAGTATTCTGGTTTAGAATCAAGTTTGTGTCTGTAGAACCTGTATTATGAAACCCACAGTTTGTGAAGTCGGTGCATTTTCTTGCCATACTGGAACACTCTGCTTAAGCTGCACATTAGATTCTCTCATTTCTGCATGACATGAGTTTTAAGATGGTTCAATACTTGCTAGCTGTGACTTCATAACTCCACTATCAGTTTCTACCAACTTAACAGTCATATTTTCACTTTCTTCCACTTCTACTTCAGGTATTTGAGCACCAAAAGCTTTTTTCCTGCCTATTATTTCTGCATGCTTTCGTTTTTTTTTTTTTTTTTCCCTTTAATCCTGCTAGATGTTTCATCCGTCATTTCTTGATCTTTCTCAGACACTTAACCAGCTACTTCCTTCATTTCTTCAACCTTTGATTCTTCAGATGCCACTACTGTGATTTCCACATCTTCTGTTCTGGCTCCAGTTATACCTCTAAACTCCAGGATGTCACTTCTAAATGTCTTTTGTTCCATTACCATTCATTCCCCTAGCAGATTTTCTTGTCTGGCTTTCATTTCTTCTTGAAACTCCTTTATTTCATTCACTAACTCTTATTTTCCAGCTTTCATCCCAGCCTTCATCTCTTCCAGCCCAGCTTTTACAGCTGCTAACAAGTCTGTCATTTTCATTTCCTCTACCATGGCTTTTTCCTGCAGGCGGATCACTTGCATTCACTCTCAGATCCCACTTATGACACCAGTTGTTGCATTCTGCCGGTTTGTGGATTTGGAGTGATTGATGATAACACTTGATATAGAATCAAAACACAATTTATTTGTCAGTATTACAGAAGACAGTTCCAAAGATGTGTTACAATTGTCAAAAAAAAACTACAACAAACATGCTGAATCAATCAGCAATACAGCCTTCAGACTATCAGGCTATAACGGTGAAGACAGCTTCACGGCAAAACACAAAATACAGCTCCTAACTCGGTTAATCGCTCTCAAGAGCTCAACACACTCATGATACTCTTCCTGATAAAACTCCCGGTACACTGCTACTCCATATACAGGCAAGGTTTATATAGCTCTTGACCTACCTTTGAGACCATTGTGGGGAAAACTGGTAAGAATTTGATCTAGAACATTCTTGCTCCATTGATGGCATATGTCAAGTTTGTCTGCAAATGGGTGATTTCACACCAAATCTGGCAACCATAACTTTCCTTGCCACTTTCTGGCAACCCTAAACCACTCTGAAGCTATCTTACCACAACTGGGCATTTTGTAACAATATAACAAAAAACTTGCATATGTATTTCATTTTAAATAATGAATGATCTTCTTTTGAGTTTTTATAGAAATGATTACGAGTAATTACAGTACAAAGTCTTTAATCCGGACTCGTTAGGACTTTGGCAATTCCGGATTATATATCATCAATTTAAATCTGGTAAGATGGCATGCAGAAATTATAAAATTAAAAATATGAAACCATAATTTATGAAATAAAGAGCAATTATGATCTAAAGGGTATCAAAATTTACAAAAAAAAAAAAAAAAAAAAAAAAAAAAAAAAAAAAAAAAAAAAAAAAAAAAAGCTTAATATTTATTTGTTTACTTTATTAAACATTTCTTTCAACGCGTGCATGCCTAAAACATATATTACGCATAGTCGAAATTAGAAAATTGCAACCAGAAAACTATTTGATGTGTATTCGTGTTATTATGATGACGAGGAATTTGATTTAAATCATATCAAGGAGTACATCGAGATGAGTACATTATGATCTAAAGGGTATCAAATTTACAAAAAAAAAAAAAAAAAAAAAAAAACAAAAAAAAAAAAAAAAAAAAAAAAAAAAAAAAAAAAACAAAAAATTGAAAAATTAAACATTTCTTTCAACGCGTGCATGCCTAAAACATATATTACGCATAGTCGAAATTAGAAAATTGCAACCAGAAAACTATTTGATGTGTATTCGTGTTATTTATGATGACGAGGAATTTGATTTAAATCATATCAAAGACGGAGTACATCGAGATGAAAAATTACACTTAGTAAGGAATTATAAGCTGAATAAAATAAAAAACATCTGCCCTGAAGATGAGGATAGTGCTGACAGATCAACTTCAAGTTCATTGCACGCCCAACCTCCCCCCTCCCCCCGCAAGCAGCATGAAATTGATAAACAGATTTCGGAATGGTTAGAGAAACAAAGGATATGCCTTTACCCATTTTTTGCAGCAATTCCACTTTTTGTTAGATGGGCGTCGAAACATGCTTTCGCTTTATAGATCCTTTGGTAGCTCCAGAATCGGAAACTCTTTTTGACATAATCAAAAGTTCAAGCTTACTTTTTATAAAATTGCTCTGACAGTCTGCAAAAAATAATAAGCCTATCCAATTAGAAGATTAAGGAACAACACAATTTGCAACATTAACTGAAATAGATAATTAGATAATTTTAGCCTAGCTTTTACCATCCGTTACACATTAAACGTGCATGCGTAAACATATTATGCGCATGCGTAAAAGTATTATGCGCATGCGTAAACGATAATGCAGCTTTTGTTTTCTGCTTTTGTAGCTTGAGGTCTGGATTAGATCATAGGGATTATGGACGTCTAGATTAAAGACTTTGTACTGTATCAGCTAGTGTAGGTTCATCTCTTTTTTCAAATAGATAAACAACAATCTGAAACAAGAAAGCAGCTTCTTTTCTTGTCTGTAATACAGTAATAAAATATTTCACATATGACGAAAGAAATCTAAACTTAAACTTTTCAATTTAAAAAATCTTTGCCTAGAGCACTTTAACACTAGTTACTTGGCTACTGACAAGTTTTCTCATAAATAAGGAAGAAAATTTAAGAATAATAAATTTCTGTAAAATTTATAATTATAGCATAGTCTTTGACATTTCTGTTTTTGGTAGTTAAGCAACTTCCAAGCACCTTTTTCCATAACATGATAATTTTATATAATATAATCTTATCTATGAACATGAATCTTGAATCAGCAAAGATTTATTTCCCCATCATAATTTTTTAGGATAATTTATTAAGGTGCATTGTTTTATTGTAAAACATACATATTAACTTCTAAAGAATGAAACAATGAAAAATCATGGAGATGACTGAAACACTGATTTAATGTTATTCTTCATAATCATTCTGGTCAAGTAGTGTTGTATTTTCACAAAAGGGAACTGCTTCATAATAAAAATGTCAGCAGTAGTTGAGGTAAGTTTCTAAAGAGCAACCTTGATAAAGATGCAGACACATTTATACTGAAAGATAACTATACAAGTAGGATTTAGTTTGTTATTCTGATTAGCTAAGTAAATGAAAATTTTATTTGTATAGTGCACTCCCTCCTTCCCCCAGCATAAAGATGACAGCACTTCTACGGATGTTACTGATCTACATAAGGATGTGGATATTTTTATGCCAGTGAGACTCTTATAAAGATTTTGTTTTTTCACTGGCTGATTTACAAATAAGTATTGGCACTTTTACGATGGGATACATTAAGAAAGCATCCTTACAGAAGGAGGTTTGTTTGATGTGATTAATTTATTACATTCTGAGAATAAATATTTAAAAAAATACTTTTAATACTTTTAGAATATTTATTTAAAAAACTCTTATAATATGTAATATTTTTATTTAATTATACGTAGACAATTTTACCAAATCCTTACCAGTGTCTAACCACAATATCCCCTCTCATTAAAATTTTGGTTTTTGCTCACAAAAAAACTGATCCGGTAATTTTTGACATTCTCATTTAAAATAAATGTCTTACCACTTAAAAACCTTTATAAGGACCAGCACAAGTAATAATCTGAAAATACTAGATCTGGCAAATATGATGAGTTTGGTAGCAAATCCCTTCCAGGCTTTTGATGAGTTACTAAACTTGTGAGAGATTTGACATTATCATAGAGAAACACCATACCTTTTCTTTTGCTAAATTCTAACATTTACTGTTTGATGGTATCATTCAATTTGATCAGGTGATGGCATTACACTTACAAATCAGTTCTGGAATTATCTAGTAAAAGCTCGGAAGAGGGGACCATAAAATATCCATATCCTAACTTACTTTTTAATTTTATGCGGGGCCCATCAAAATTCCTATCAACAGATTGCAGAACTAGTCTTTATTTTATGCATCATTGTCGGTTGTGAAGTGTTTGGAAAGATTCAAAGATTCCCTCCTCATTGGTCCTAAGATGCCTGTATTTTTTTCTTAAAAACACGTGGAACCCATACATCGAACTTATACTCTTTTAACCAAGCCAGATTATCATAAAAGGTCAAGAATAATTATCAATGATTGTTTCATTCTTTTTTTTTTTCATAGTTTTCCAACTTACCTTCTACAGCATTTTTACCTTTTAGTAGAATGTTCATTATTTTTTTTTTTCATATGATGAGACACACAAACACACACACACAGACAAAAAAAAAAAAAAAAAAAAGAAAGACAACCAACCAACCCACACAACCGCCTAAAATGTTACCTCCAACAGTTTAGAATGGATCCGGTTTTAATGCTGGTTAAAAATGGCAACAGTTTTTCCTGTGTACCCAATTAACGCTGCTCGGGGATACACTTTCTGCCCTTCTTGCTAGGCCAAAATACCAGGACTTTATTATAAAATATTAAGTTAAAATTAGCAGAAAGCTTAAAAAATACAATTTAATTCACGTTTTACTTGCAATAGGTATTGTTTCCGCTAATACCAAACCAATCTTCCCGCAGCTTCTTGCTGGCCTGATATACCTTAATACTTTGTGTTTTTGCCTTGTCTAGAATTGCAAGACCTGCTGACTTCCTATCCAATCCTGAAAACTTAAATAATACTAATCATAAGTAAAAAAAAAAAAAAAAAAAAAAAAAAAAAAAAAAAAAAAAAAAAAAAAAAAAAAAAAAAAAAAAAAAAAAAAAAAAAAAAAAAAAAAAATTAATATTTTACATAAACTAATCATAGAAAATGAGGTCTCAGAAATTTTAGAGTATATGCAAGCTAATGGCACATTACATAAAGTAAGAGAAATGTTTAGAATATTTTACTTATTAATTATGATACAATTGAATTTATTTTATCATAATTAATAAAAAATCCTTCCTTTTTGTTGTTCAGCTGCATCTTGGCTGGTTAATTGATTAACCCTGTGACTGGCAAGTGTTTCTGGATCTACTCATGAAGACTTGTATTGAAATCACATTTAATAGCTAAATTTTATAATTACTTATTAGCTAAATGTGTATAATCACTTATTTTAGTCTATGTTTTCATAGTTTTCCATTTTTTTTAAATGATACTTAATGAATGTAATTCCATTTTTTTAAATGATCATTAATGAATGTAAGAAAGCAAAATATTTAAAATTATAAGCTAATATATATCAAGAGGTAAAAAATATTATGACCAGATAAAGGTTGTTATGCCACTCAGGGGTTTAAGCAAAACAGATGCATTTTCTATCTGGGTGGGATACTGTTGTGGAGGATTTTCTAAGCTAAACTATCTAGTATTTTTATTATTCATGGGGTAAAATATGCAGCCAGCCACTTGACATGTTTTTATAGATTGAAGAATATCAAACAATAATTAGTTTCAATCCAAGCATCCTCCAAAATGCATTACAAAATTTTCAAGAATCATATTTTATGTTCAGCCTTTTTTTAATAATCTTCGGCGCCTAAGACATACACAAAAAGAAATCAAGAGATGCAATATCAAGGTAGCTATAAGACTGAACTATGCACCAGATCTATATGTTCAGAAATTTCATGTTCAACTGGACCATTAGCAAATAAGAGGAGAGGCACCCCATTTCACTACTACATGATATTCAGATGGAAATAACAAATTTCAAGAGAAGAAAAAAATCTCCAATCAAAGTAAGTCACAGTAATCTCCAGTCACAGTAAATTCTATATTTTTAAAAGGTTTAATGACTGACATCTCTGTTGTAGGATTTTTCAAAATTAAAAAAGCAATATTATGCATAAAAATACAAACATAATTTTCCATGAATTAGCATTTATAGAACTAAGCTGCAAAAATTTGGATTAAATTAAAAAAAAAAAAGAAAGAAAGAAAAAATGTAATTACACATTACTTCATTAGAGTTGATCAGTTCATTAGAAGAATAATCAAAAACTTCAGTGATATCAATGTTGTGTTTCAGTGCAAATTCTATATGGCTTTTATTCTCTGCTACAGGAATACCTACAAGATTAATATAATTAAAGAAAATTATTATACAGTTTTTTAAATATATCCAGTATAAAATATTTTATAAGAAATATCACATTCATAGTTAAAATTTATCAAACTTATTACCTAAACATGAGTCTGTTGTTGGAGAACTTTCTAAATTTGTAGTCACATAAATAGGCAATTTTTTACCAGTAAAAGGATGTATGGCAAATATGTTTAATTGAAAATCTTTGGCACTGCTGTGACCTCCTCCATAGTCTTTGGCATTAAAATGATTGTCAGGAGAAATTACAACAAAACTAGCGCCATAAATTAATTCTGGAGTGCTTGTCCACACAGTGAGTGAATCATTTAGGGCTTCATCATTGAAACTAAGATTCAAGTGGAATATGAAGCCATCTGGCTCTCCAATCCAGTGCTTTTGTACCTTTGTAACATCTCTCCATTCTATCAAACTTGGATCTTTGAGGCCTTCATAGAGATCCTAAAAATGCATGTGATTCAAATTTCTAATAATGTATTCCATAAACAAAGAGTTATCTAAAGCAAATAAAGCTATGATAATCCAACATTTTAGAAATGTTATTTTTAAAATATTTCAAAATAAATTAAATTGGTACTACAACCCTCCATTATTTAAATAGCAACAATATAGGGTCTCATGATAATCTTGGTGCTCTTTAAATAATATGAATTAATAATAAGGAAGTACATTAAATTTTAGTTGCAGCCAGAACTGTAGCTACAGGTTTCAGCACCTGGTCACAATTGAAGATTTTATGTCCCCTCCTATTTAACAAGAATGAAAAACTTTTCGTTCTAAAATTTCATAACGTCAATTTGCTACCCTCTGGATGCTGCACCTGGGGACAAATGTCCCTCTTGCTCCTCCTTTAAAACTCTTCCTGCCTGCTCCCTTGCTGTTTGCAGCAAAATTCTACAAAATATCTGATTTCATTTTACCATTTGAAGTATAGACTATGTCTCAAAAGAAATTAAACTATTTATGGTTTAATATAAATGAAATTAATCATGGGTGTATTACCACTTAGTCCAGATATACCTAATATTTTTTTAAAGAAGGATGCTTGAGTATCAGTACAGGTGTAGGCTGTAGCAAGCCTAGTGACTGTGCATTCCTGTAGGTACATATTAGATATCAATGAGAACTGCTAATTGTTAAACTTCCAACTCGACTGAGAATTCCAACAAAATACCTGAAGTGGTAGTTCGAGGCTCTCCAGGCCAACCATCAACCTCAGGAGAGGATTTTGGTGTGCTGCAGATTTTGAGTGCATTCTTGCCACACAACACTATATGCTTACAAACATCCATGCTTTCTCCAGGATTCAAGCACAAGCCCTTCTGTACGGCAATCAGCACCAGTAACCACAATCACATTCAGGCAACTGGAGCACCAATACAGCAGTTTTAGAATTGTAATTGTTTGTACTCATACCAGTGCTTGAAGTCGTCATTTAAAATGAATTGCAAAGTGGGCTCGTCTGATCTTGTTCTCAAGAATACAGAGAAATCAGAAAATCATGTTCATTTGTTACATGTTTATGATAAATAAACACACAGCATTCCTTATGTTTGCCAATCAAAATCTTCAGAATCAGTTTCACTGAAATATTTTGCTCTTTCAAATCATCCATAATGATACAAAGTGCATCTGATTTTGGGAGGTCCACCCCTGTATTTGCAACTAACCTTACATTCAAACGCAGGCCAAAGTTCAACATAGATTTCACTTAAGTCATATTTTGGGGAGTCTTTATGCACAGGAATGTTATTAATCCTCTACATCTTCTCACCCTTCTTAATGACTTATGCTACCTGTACACTTTTCACAAAGTCTCATTTCTACAGGCTTATCTCAACAGTGCAAGTATTGGTAGTGCATTTATCCAGCTTGATATTAAATTTTATAGAATATCACTTCTTCCCACTGCACTACATTATTCAACACAACACTGTCACCCAGCTAGTGATATGAATAACATAACAGCAAACAGACAACTGAGTCTGAATATTTTTGACATTCTCCACTTCCAACTGCCCTGCTCCCTAGACCTTTCAGATTGGTCCACCATAACCCCCATTCTTTGGCGACAGACAGACCTTGTATGTATTTTTACACATTTGCTACTTAGAGACAACATTAATCATTTAATTTACCTTTGTCCAGCATAAGATTGAGAATCTTAATCACATAGCAGAAGACTCATAATTTTAATGACATTTCCTTCAGCTTTGCCTAATGTTTGAAGGTAAAAGCACCTTTAATCTCGGGCAAAATTAGACTAAGGCAGCCAGATGTGTTTTATTACTTAATCATTTTGTCTTTTTATTACAAAGAATTATTATTATTATTATTATTTTATTTATTTTTTTGGTCTAACAGAAAAAAATTCAAACATTTCCCTTTCATCAATGAAACTTCAAATAAAAGTTAGCCCTTAGCACTAAAATAGGTTATGAGTAACTTTAAACTCTGAAATATTTTTCATCCGTAACACTAGAATGACTAGCTTTCCCAATACCAAGAACTGAACCAGTAACTGAAACTTTTAAAATCTTTGTGTCAAATATATATTTTTCATTTCATTCAATTATTATTATTCTAAAATAGTACTTAAAATTAGTACTTTATTTCAAAGAAGAATTTTCTACATTATTAAGTTTAACTTGTAGATTAGGAATACTTCTGGTACTCCTTCTTAAAGAAATTCTCATGGGTGTTGATCAGTTAAACTTCTTAGCTTACAAAAGTTAACATAAGTTTACACACAGTAAAAAAAAAAAAAACTGCTCCTCCTCTTCTAGCTATAGGATTCTTGAAATTATGAACTGAATGTTTTTCAGATAAGCACACTGTAATATACAGAGTAAATCAAAAATCTGAATTTAATTTCAAAATGCTGTATTGACTTTTCTTCAGCTCATCCAAAGTATTCAGTAAAGGATGCATGCCTACTGAATATTTGATACCTCCCCCCCCAAAAAAAAATATCCATACTGTAAGGTTGGAGGAAGGACATGGCCAGAAGTGAAATGCCAGACCTACTTCAGCATATCCAGCATTGAAGAATTTCATTTGTTAAAAACTCCATTATTGTCAAGTGCCAGGGTGAGAACACACCCATCTAGCTGAAAAATGAAACTTTCACCATCTTGCTAGAGTTCAAATGTGTATGTGTGTGGGGGGGGGGGGGCAGGACTACATACTTTTCCACATAATGCAACATAAAAACATTAAATTTAGGGGGATTACTTTTGTGTTTTAGGATGAAATCAATCAACCCCATCACTCAAAACTAACTGTAATGGAAAACATTGATCTTCTACCTCACTCTCCATAACTACATTACAAAACTATACTCATGTCTAAAATTGTCTTTAGATGAATGAAATCACAGATTTCTCATAAAATGAAAATTATAAATACATGAATTTGTGTGGAATGATATATAATATCATAACATATAAATTCTAAGGAAAAAAATTAAGAGAACAGCATATGTTATAAAAATGTAGAATAAAACAATAGTAATAAGATGTTACAAAATTCAGAGTGGGAAAAAAGGATAGTTCAGGAAAAAAAGTAGGGTTTATGTATTTAATAAGAAATATGACCTTCCCTAACTTTTTTTATGCACACATATCACTGTGTGTTTTCATGCTGGTAATAACATTGTTAATCAGAATTTGGGGAATTAAATTCCCTTCCTCTAGCAAATGTGGCCTTGAGAGCATTTATATCTCTAGGGAGGGGATCCTTCCATGCAAATGCTTTTCCAAGGTAGTCCCATAACTTTTTATTGGGTTAAGATCAGATGATTTTGCTGGCCGCATAATTATTCATAATCTTCACTTTCAAAGAATTTGTCAGTGAAGTCTGCTCAATGTAGATGAAAATTATCCTCCATAAATGAAAATTCAGATACAAATGCACCTTGAAAAATCTTACATAAGATTTTAAGACCCTATCTCCATATCTCTGGCCAGTCACAGATCTGCTGTTGAAAACATGTAGGGGCATCCATCCATCAATCAATATTTTTCCCTATAGCATCACACCTGCATTAATGAAAAGGTTACTTTACATAACATTCAAAGAAAAATTTCATTTTCTTAACTTCCTATAGATGTTAACATGTTTAAATCAGGTGTTAAACTAAAACTCAAGTCATCAGTGTTAGAAACTTGCATTTCTCCCGCTCGCGACTGTGCTTAGCAGAAAAGGTTAACTATATAGCTGTGCAGAAGGTTCTTCCTGACGGAGAGAGAGACAGACAAGAGAGAGAAAGGGTCGTGTGTCTTCCGGATTCTGATGGTGCTGAAGTCTGACCTCCATGCTATGCCTATATGATGTTGCCGACCTAGCCAGCAGCTGTGATTCTTTCAAGTAAGGTGCAGAAACTTGAGGCAAGGAGTCCTAACAAGGAACAGCACAGTGGAGATAAGAATCTACTCAAGCATTTTGGATTATCGTTCTATATCGCCAAATACCGGCCTATATGAAAAGAACTATTAAGCAGGATAAAATCACATTGTACAAATCTAGTGCATTCATATGTTATCCATTGTATAATTTCATTAATGTGTCATAGTCTGAACACGTATGTTCATCTATGTTATTAAATCTTAAGGATAGAAAGCCAGTCATTAAATCTTATGTTTAATTTTTCAACTTGGTGCAGTTTATACTTCTGTAGAAGAGAACCTCGGTTCTACACCCACTGCTACACATAACTCTCAAGGTTCTTCAAAGAACGCAAAATCTTCAAATACAATAATCAGTAAAGAGAACATGAGATTATTAGTGTACACTCTATTTCTGATGTTCTTTGCACCTGTCAAAGCAATTCATCTTGTGGTGAAGCCAGTTAAATATATAGCCTTGGCTTTCTGGCATAAAAGCCTTTTTCATTAAGCCTTCTGTTATAGTTTGGCAAAATACAATAGTACCAGTGGCAGCTGCAAGCTGTAAACTTAGCTGCCAAACATTAGACTTCCTGTTAAGATTGGCAATTATTGCCAGATATTGATCTTGAGAAGCAGTTGTTACTCCTTTACAACTTTGGCTAGGCCTCCTTACAGCACTTTGATAATTCTGATATTGTTTGTTTAGCATAGAGACTGTACATCTTGAAATATTCACACAGCTCATTACTTCCACGAACATCTGCCTTGCTTTTAAATGAAAAATGATTCATCATTTCATGAATTCTTTTAAGTGATACTTCAGAGCCATAATAAAAAGTTTTAAGTTCTTACACAGCAAAATCAAATGCTGTACTGAGAAAATTCACTTAAGTATTCACTCTGCAGAAAGCACTTCATTCACCACGAGATGACATAATGCCTGATTTGCATATCAGAAACTATTTTATCAGTTTGATCAGATTGGATAATGCTAATAAGGGTTGTCTTTCACCCATTCCTTATAAAAACAAATTACACTGATTAGAAACTTCTGCGCAATATCATTATTCTGGAGAATGTAAAGATAAATTTAGTCATGTATGTAAATACATTACCTTATTACCTTCATGAAAGGCTTGCACAAATTAAATTCTGTAGAGTTTTTAGTGACAAACATACTAATTACAAACAGTTTAATGGAGAACGCAAAGCTAGTGGTTTGTTTCCGTGTCAATTTTTGAGGACTACAAGTGAATGCATTTTGAATTTACATGATGTTTTACGCAATTGTGTTACAAGCTGAGTATTTTACAACATACAAGCATCCTCTCTCTGAAAAAATGCAGTACCACCTTCGAATGCTCTGGAGAATAAGAGTTTTAATGTTCAATCTTTAATGGAAATCATAAAGCACAGATAAGCACGAATAAACTACAGAATACAAAAAGCTTTTGCAGCTAGTTCACCAACATGAACAGCAATAATGTCAATTGGTGAGCTGACAGATGGTTAGATAAGCACTAGTAATAAAAGGTACAAAATGGCAAAGGGATTTGGAATTATGACCAAGAAAATTATATTTTTTTACATGGCCCTTTTGGGAACATGAGAGATTTAGAACTAAATCCTTGGCCATTTCAAGTAGACATAACCCTCCTCCCAAGTTTTAGTCTTTTAGATTTTTTTGTGGTCTTAAAAAACCTGCCAATGTGAAACAAAAACCAATAACAAAAAAGTTTATTGTAGTTTACATGAAAAACAACAGTAATTTCTTAACATGTATACATATGTTTAGAATGTTATCAGATCCCCATATCACAATTTATTTTTTCCTCAATCATTATCCTAAAAAATGATATATTATAAATAAAGTATAAATATATGAAATATTTCTCAATTTTTATCTACTGCTACTCAAATGTGCATAGTCTTCATAGAAATTTAATCAAAATGATAGTATTTAAACATACTTATCTACAGGAAAAATACCTTAGAAAATGCAGATGTACGAAGAAACCATTGAGACAATCTGCGCTTCTCAACTTTGCAACCAGAACGCCAGGAGAAACCATTTTCATCAACTTGTTCATCAGCTAAAACAGTTTGATCAACTGGATCCCAGTTAACAGCAGCCTAAGTAACAGAGTTAAAACAAACTGTCATATGACATTTAAGAATTGCATTACTATGAAAAAAAAGCAACGATTAATATGACATATACAACAAATAGAGGACTTTTTTTAAAGTTCAACTGACAAATGTTCAAGGACTAAAAGCCATAATATATCAAAATACATAGATCAGATGTAAAAATTTTAAAAAACACTGAATTCAATATAATAAAACAAAACACAATTTTTTTGAATAATTAAAGACTGCAAATTAATTGTGATTATTAAAGATTACTACAGCAGCAAAACTTTAAAAGATATAAAAATTATTGGCTACACAACTTCAATGTATTGGGCTGTTCGGAAAGTAGTTTCGTTTTTTCCCGTCAGAGGACTTAATTACATTTTTTCGAAACCAACTTCACACTTAAGTCGCATAACCATTATATGTCTTGAGAGCTGATATTACAAGGCTTATGTGTGAAAAAGTTCTATTAATTCTACGCAGTAGTTTTTGGTTGGTGCCCTTTTAAATATGGAGAGCAATAAGCAGCATTTTCGTCATATTTTACTTTTTTACTTCAGAAAAGGTAAAAATGCTGTCCAAGCGAGAAAAAAATTGACAGATGTGTATGGAGAAGGCTGTTAACAGTACGCCAGTGCCAGAACTGGTTTTGCAAAAGTTTCGATCTGGCAATTTTGATGTCGAAGATGCACCACGATCTGGAAGGCCGGTCGAAGCTGACAAAGATGCGATAAAGGCATTAGTTGATGCAAATCGGCGAATAACCACACGAGAGATTGGTGAGAGGTTAAATTTGTCGAATTCGACTGTTTATGGCCACTTGAAAGGCTTGGGCTTAACCTTGAAGCTCGATGTGTGGGTGCCCCATGTTCTTACGGAGCGAAATTTGTGTCGTCACGTTGACGTGTGTGATTCGCTCCTCAAACGTCAGGAAAATGATCCATTTTTGAAGCGGATTATTACTGGGGACAAAAAATGGGTCATATACAACAATGTGAAACGCAGGAGGTCATGGAGCAGAAAAGATGAACTGGCTCAAAGCGTTTCAAAAGCCAACATTCACCAAAAAAAGGTGATGCTGTCCGTTTGGTGGGATTTCAAAGAAATTGGTTTTTTTTTTTTTTTTTTTTAGCTTTTACCGGACAATACAACTATTAATTCGGAAGTCAATTGTCATCAGCTGGACAAATTGAATGATGCACTTAAACAGAAGAGGCCAGAATTAACCAACAGGAAGGGTGTAGTGTTCCACCAAGATAATGCGAGACCTCATACAAGTTTGGTCACTCGCCAAAAGCTTTTACAGCTGAATGGGACATACTGCAACACCCACCATATTCTCCAGATCTGGCGCCTTCCGATTATTATTTGTTCCGGTCCCTGCAAATTTTGTTGGGATGGTAAAACCTTTACCTCAAATGAAGATGTCAAAAACCACCTGAATCAGTTTTTTGCCAGCAAGGACCAAAACTTTTATGAGCAGGGAATCATGTTACTGCCAGAAAGATGGCAAAAGGTGTTGGACCAGAATGGCCAATATATAATTTAATAAAATATTTATTCATTATACGAAAATTATCTTTCATGTTCCCCCAAAAAAAACAAAATTACTTTCTGAACAACCCAATACTTCTTAGTGGAAATGATTAATGAAAGTTATAAATGCTAAACTAAAACTTAAAAAAAAAATAGATTAACTACATCTGAAAGGATAAAATAAATTAGCTTAATTACTCACCTTATTTATTTATTACTATTATTTTGTAATGTATATAATTTTGGTTATTTTCTCATATAGGATGTATGGATAAAATGACATGCAAAATGATATAATATCTCATAAAAATTCGTTACAAAAATTGCTTATTTACATTATTCAATGAAATCAATTAGTTTCTAATCTTTCAGATCAGGTCTATAAATTTTATCATGGTCAAGAAGGAGAGGGTAACACTAGTCAAAACTTAATGCATCTTCTAGGATTAAGTTTGGTTCAGCCTAGTTCTGTCCAGATTTTGGAGGACAAAATCCCTATTCTGCTAACAACAATTTCTTGAAAAAATTTTCAGATCACCAGTGCTTTCAGTTTCCTTATGCCACAAAGACACCATGCAGTCTCCTTAGTCAATCATATGGCAGTACCAACACTCACCACCACATTGACTAAAGCTGCAAAGAATTAATTTTCTCATTTAAATTATTTTGCTGAATCTAATTCAGATAACATTATGAAAAACATCCAGATGATAAATCTTCTTCTATGCAGTCTGAAATAAGTTCAGTGTAGCTACAGCCACAATATCTATTGAAGAATCTTTCAGATCTGAAAATTATTCGTTCCAATCATGCTTCTAAAATATTCTCAGGGACAAAAAGTCCAGTGGAATTTAATCAAATAGACAAAAAGGGTCTCCATGCATTTGCCATGTAACAACATTCATTAGCAAAACAAGTATAAATGGGTTCAAGAATATAAAAAATTGTGCATGCTGAAGTTTGTAGGTTTCATATAATAAATAATATGTATAAACAGTCATCATTATTACTCAATGTAGTTCAAAATTTTTCATCAGATAGGTGATGTTATAAATTCATTAGGTTTACTTTGGAGCAGAAAACACAAAAATCAGCATCGCTCTCATCAGGATATGAAATCCAGACCTCCTAACTGCTAGCCAGATATGCTTTCAGTGACTAGGTACACATGAAAGGTACACATGATAAGCAAAGAGAAAATTTCTCACGGTGTTTATGAATAGCTAATGTGCAATAATGATTTTACTTTAAAAAAAAATTAAAAGGTCTTTTACTTTACATTTTCAGGTAAAATGAAACAAATTTGATGTATATGAATTTTAAATACATCAATAAAACTCCAAACCCACATGTTATAATAAAATTATACACATACTTCTTTTTTATATGCTAATCCTTGTTCATACATCAAAAGAAATAAGTGCTGTGTCCACTTGTAGTAACAAGGATCAGAAGTTGCTAATTCCTGTGAACAATAAAATACTACACTACATAAAATGCACAGATAATCATAGATACTACAAAATCTAAAAATTTATTAATACTAACAATAAGACATACCATATCCCAATCAAAACTTATATTTAAATCCTTCAGTTGCTTTTTCATAACAGAGATATTACTGAAAAGAGAAAATATTTGAATACCATGGAAAAATTAAATTTTAACGGTACTTTTCCGTTTCGCCGGAACATACAATATCCACACAAAAAATTTTAACAAATGTTAGTTCTAAGAATTTTTTATTTTGAAGGCATAAACGTTTTAATATCATGTAAAAATTTTCTAAAAAGCCAATAAATAAAGACAATAAATTGGTAAAAAAGACATTAATTTAAGAAATTTACTATGCTTTCATATGGTTCAACATCCTGATTCGCCAGTTCATATCGCGTGACCCCAAATGATCTCATCTCACGCAAACTACGCTGCAAAAATATGAATTATGTCAGTAATTATCTACATTAATTTCAACTTTAACTCTTAATTTGGAATACCAAGTTTAAATGCAAGAATTATTTCAATTCGTACGAATAGCTTACTCAGAAATTATGTAAAATCGCAGTGCTTTACTTCCCTAGTGCATTCACATTAGAAGTGATGAATTTAAACCTAGACTTTGTCTTTTATATATTTTGCCCTTTGGGTGAGCGGTGTGATTGCATTCTAACTGAATTAATTACCGCGAATGGCCTGAGGGTATAAAATTTGAACTATCTGGTAAACATTTTATGTAATTATATGACAATATTGAAAGAAACATATCAATCTGATAAGAAATGGGTGACTTGTTTTGAAAATTAGGCATAAAAGGTTACCAGTGAGGATATTCTGTTTGCCATCAGTTGTATCATTACTGGCGACTTTATCGCCTGCGCCGGCAAAACGGAAAAGTACCATTTTAACTTACAGTTCTATTTTTATCACACATACATAACAATATGTACTAATAATAGTAATAAGAAATTTTACAAATGAAACAAAACTGCATTATTGGCAGTTTTTCTATATGTTGTAAAAACAATAGTTTGTTACAAAAGTTCTGCAAAGTTTGCATTACTTGCTTTGCAAAAACTATATTTCTGCTGTAACTTTTAAAACATAGTTGAAATAATAAATCAGCATTATAATTCTTAAAATATTGACTAGTTGGTTGATTATTTGAAAATGGTAAAGCACATGAGGGCTAGTGGAAGGTATGACTTCGCAGTAGACTTTCTAAGGAAAACCTTGCAGCCAGCCCATTTACCTGTGGCCGAACCTCAAATGAACTCTCAACATTTAGTGGTCTTAACCACTTGGCTACCATCGAGGCTTTGAAATACTGTCTTCATAATGATGAACAGGTTTGTTTGCTTAACTTTGCTGAAGGACAGAAAATAGTGGAAAACAGAAAACAGCTTCTAATGGAACCTCTGACATACTAACACATAGTACCTGACCATTAAGTCTGTCCAGCTAACTACACATTCATATGTGAATAATACATCTTTAAATGTGTGTGTATGGAAAAAAAATATATAAAGCATTTCTGCTCTTTCTTGTCCTCTTGCAAACATGTTGCCATTTAAGTGTCTCTTTTCATCAACTGTACTAGATAAGACAGAATAGGAACAGATGAATATGTGATCAAGAGAGGCATGCACATTGTGCCCATCATGATGAGAGTAAATGATTTCAAAAGCACAGTAACATTATTGTGCTTCTCAGGAATAAAGAAAAATGTGTTTTACTGCCCATGACTGCATGTAACTGGATCTTCTTTTGTAAATTATTACACACGTATAAAATTATGAAGCCTAAAACAAAAAGAAAGAACTTCTCATTAATGCTCCTAACTAAGGTTCCACTAAGCTCTTCAGCTAAAAATGTTAACAAAATTTCGCCTTTAAGTCATACAGAGCTGATTATCCAATTTAATGATATTTTAACAATGCTTTCACAAACATTACTTCATCTAATATTTTTATTAATTTCACAGCTTTTTCAAACACTGATAATGTTGACGTGGCTTATGAAAGAGGTGTGAAACTTGGTCTTGGTGATTTCATATTTTATAGTGTTCTAGTTGGGAAAGCATCATCATATGGGGACTGGAATACAACTCTGGCATGCTTTGTTGCAATATTAATACGTCTATGTTTGACGTTATTGCTGCTGGCAATTTTTAAGAAGGCATTGCCAGCTCTTCCAATTTCCATTACATTTGGTTTTGTAGACTGCCATAAGGTTTTCTATGACTAATCTTACTTAATAAAGTTTTCTTTTTATATACAGTCAAATACCGAAAATCCAACCTGAAATGCACCAACTCCTGAAATCCGCGTTGCCTCTCAAAATACAAACATTCAGTTAGGTTCTGGAAACCGCAACACTGAGTACAAAATATCGAAGAAAAATACTTACCAAATAATAATGAGTCATAATGGAAATACCAAATTATTGACATCATGATAAGTTTTTTCTCCTCTAATCTGCATTAAGGCAAGAAAACAGATGATTCACTCAACTCTTCTTTCAAGTTCACGATTCACGTTGTATTTTCTGAGCTTTGTTATTTCACAAGATTATTTAGTGCTGCCTTTTTTTTTATCCGGATATTTTGTGGATAAATTAAGAATATTTTAAATTTCAGCACTTTTTAATACAATTGCAGATTAGAAACACACTCATGGTTTTACTGCTTGAACGTTGAAAAACGTAAACACGTTGCATTGACAGTAATGCAAAAAGTGCAAATTCTGCAAAAGATGGAGACAGATACTACTCCTTGATTTATAGCAGAATCACATGGAATTGTGATACGATTGTGTATGATATGCAGAAAAATGAAGAAAAGCTGTTGAAATTTTACAGGCACTGTGACTCTAACACCAGAATCCGAAACCAGAAATCTTTGCATGAGGCAAAATCGGCAAACCTCAATGCTGTATACATATAATACAATGAATAATATAATCAATAATATGTAATAATAATTTAATGTGTATAATAAGTTATTGCAATAATGTACATAATAATTTAATTAAATGTATCTAATATGCCTAATTTATTTTGCACTTTTAGTCTGAATATTATGATTTATCTTTTCTGTCCTGAAATCTGCAAAATCCTAAAATCCACACAGCCTCTGGTCCCAAGCTCTGCGGATTTCTGGAATTCTACTGTATTACTACAATGTGTTTTTATTAGAAATACATAACTCTTTAGAGAATATCATTTATATGCCAATTCCAAACCAACATTTGGTAGCAGAGCATGGTTGTTCCATGTAAATTGGTTTATCCAAGTATCCATTTAAATATGCAGTTTTTACATCGAAAAATCTTATGTTATAGTTTTTGTAAACTGCAATCAATAACAATATTCTAAAGGTTGCAAGTGTCATTACTGGACTAAATCCATCTTCATAATCAATTCCCTTTCATTGATTAAATCCAAAAGCTACTAGTCTTGCTTTGTAAATTGTTTCTAAATTACCCTTTTCATCCTCTTTTCAAAATATCCAGCGGTTTTTAATCAGTTCTTCTATCACTGCATGTAGCCAGAATTCACTTTCTGCAGATTCTACAGCTTTATCATACGTCTTAGGTAATACAGTCAAAAGTCGTTAATCCGGACTCGTTGGGACTTCGGCGATTCCGAATTATCGATTTTTCCGGATTATAGATCATCAGTTTAAATCTCGTGAGATTGCATGCAGAAATTCTAAAATTAAAAATATGAAACCGTAATTTATGAAATAAAGAACAATTATGATCTAAAGGGTATCAAAATTCACACACACAAAAAAAGCTTAATATTTATTTGTTTACTTTATTAAACATTTCTTTCAATGTAAGTTGTTTAAGTTACTTTTTCATGTGATAATACTTTCTCTTTAATTCTATAAACAGACATAATTTCTTGTTCAGTTACGAAGTTCCGCTGTTCAAGTCCCGTAATTGTTGTGTCGAGAATACCGACTAACTTGTCAATCGAAATTTTTTCGTTTTCACTAACCTCTCTGTCATCTTCTTCATGTCTTTATCCATTTTTTGCAGCAATTCCACTTTTTCTTTGATGGACATCGAAACATACTTTCGTTTTGTAGATCGTTTGGGAGCTCCAGCATCAAAAATTCTATTTGATATAATCAAAAGTTCAAGTTTACTTTTATAGTATTGCTCTTACAGTCTGCAAAAAATAATAAGCCGGATCCAATTCGAAAATTAAGGAACAACACAATCATCAACATTAACTGAAATAGATAATTAGATAATTTTAGCTTATTCCGTCCGTTATACATAAACGTGCACGCGAAAACGTATTCTGACTTGCGCACACGCATATGCGCCAGACGTAAAGGTCTTACGTGCACGCGTAAACGCCTATGCGCATGTGTCAACGCGGCGCATGCGCAGAAAGTTTTTAGCTTTGAGGTCCGGATTATAGATCATTCCGGATTATGGGTGTCCGAATTAACGACTTTTTACTGTACTTCATTTGTAATGTATACTACCTAATCTTTTAATTTTTCTGGGGGCTTCGTCATTCGCGTTGGTCTTTTCTGCATAAAATTTCCTTGACTATCATTTTTCAGATTTGTGGATACTCTGTTGGCTTTTCCAATGAATTGTTTTCATCCTGTTCACAATCTGTGTTTGATGGTAAAATTTTCTCAGCTTCTTCATCTTTTGTATTATCTTCTATATGGTATCTGTCAGTTATTTCTGAATTGTTTACAATGCCATTAGTTTGTTCCTTGTAAAAAATAATAAGTTCTTCTAATATTTGATTTTTAAATAATTTTCTTTTAGTAAAGGAGATCCGAGTTTCTGCTGATTAAATTTTGCATCTCTCACTTTTTGAATTTTATTTAGTTTAGGAATATAAATTTTGTATGCTTTTCTCTTCATGCTATAGCCTATCATAATTCCTTTTTGAGCTTTTAGATCAATCTTTCTATGTTTTTCTCGTCTTATATGAACATATGCTTCACATCCAAATCTTTTAAGATAAGTACTGTTAGGCTTGTATCCTTTATATAGTTCATATGGTGTAAACTTTTTATCATTTTTGTGACTCCTGTTATTCACATGTACAGCTACTTTAACGCTTTCAGACCAAAATTTTATCAGTAATTCTGCATCAATTAACATAGTTCCCACAAATCAACAATTACATAGTCACAATTAACAACATTAATTAGTACAAGTCACAATTAACATAGTCAAGATCCCACAGAGAAACAGGAATGAAGAGCTTTATTACATGCTTGCTTACAACTCTGGCATGCATTGTTACAATATTAATAAGTCTATGTCTATGTTTGACATTGTTGCTACTGGCAATTTTTAAGAAGGCATTACCAGCTCTTCCAATTTCCATTACATTTGGTTTTGTAAAATGCCGTAAGGTTTGCTATGACTAATCTTATTTAATAAAGTTTTCTTTTACTATAACATGTTTTTATTAGAAGTAGATAATTCTTTAGTTAGATAATATCATTTATACGCCAATTCCCAACCAACAAATAGTTATTTTAGTTATACTTTGGCTTTGTACTAACACCAATTTTTTAATCTCTTAGTCACTTAGTTGACATCCACAAGAGTAATAATACACCTGAAAACACAAAATTTAGCAAATTTAAAACCAAAATATTCTAAAGTGATATACAGAAATTTTGAACCCTAAGTATTGATAGCAATGTCACTCTGGCAGTAGATTCAAAACTTGCCAAAATATGGGAGTTGTCAGAACCCATATTTTGGCATGACTTCTAAATGGGTTTACCCAGAACATGATGTCAGAACATGACTTCTGAATGGGTTTACACAAAATTGCAGATGTTTTACACCAGTCTGTTTTTCAAACTTCAAAGAGCATGAACTCTTAAGATCTGAGTTCAAGCAGATTCTTAAATATTCTTAGATTTTAATTCCTTCATTTCAGAGCCAGTTGAAAAGCACGGATGAACAGATATTTGGTAAAGTGATTTAAAAAAAAAGGTCACATAAAATTAATTACATCAAAGAAAACAATGGTATAAAAGTTCTGTAGAATATTATGAAATTATTGAAGAAGGAGAGATTTCAGCAATAATTATCAAACTGCTTTTTTCTGGCTGCAACTAAATGAAAGAAAAGCATCACACAAACAGAACCAAATAACAATAAATCTTCATTGTTATAGCAATGGACTGTATAATGAAGGGAAGAAGAATTAGGAAAACAAACAAATACTTAAACAAATACTTAATACTTAAAATAAAGTAAACAAAAAATTCTAGAAATGTAAAGCAGAATGAGAACAACTGGAGGGAAATATAAGTTAGGATTGAAAGAAATAACTAAAAGAAATAGATTTTAATAAATACAGAAAGCCTCAAAGGAATCTCATTCACCAACTGAGAATGTTTTCAGAAAGTTCAAGTTTTTCAGAAATTTTTGACAAAAGTAAAATGGAATTTATAGTTTGCAAATCCATAATATGTTCATCACACAGAACTTGTCTTCAAATAATTACAGATGATACTGAAATAGTTTAATACATATGCAGTACAAAGTCTGTTATCCAAAATGATCTATAATTCGGACTTCAAAGCCACAAACTTTTTTTTTGTATACTTTACGCATGTGAATTTAGCACAAAAAACAAAGCAACTTAAACACTTACATTGAAAGATATGTTTAATAAAGTAAACAAAAAATTTTAAGCTTTTTTTTTTTTTTTTTTTTTTTTTGTAAATTTTGATACCCTTTAGATCATAATTGCTCTTTATTTCATAAATTACAGTTTCATATTTTTAATTTTATAATTTCTGCATGCCATCTTACCACATTTAAACTGATGATCTGTAATCCGGAAAATCCCTTAATCCGGAATCGCTGAAGTTCCGACGAGTCCGTATTACGGACTTTGTACTGTACATTGAAAGATGTATTACTTTGTGATATGATGAAAATAAAAAACTTTGCTTTAAAATTCTGCAACATTTCACCGCAAACGGACACCAATTTTAGCAGAAATCTGATGCTGGAACCTAGTATCTAAACAATTTAACAATTCAGTTAAGAAACAATTTAAATAACTCAGACTGGTACAATTTTAAAAGGAAACATTATGTTTGCTAGTATTGAGTTAAACACATTAGTTGAGTTTTGCCCAATTTTAAAATTGGCATATTTTGCTTACAATCTTGAAATATTATTCAAATATTTTTTAACTAATTAGAAATTAGAAAAGGCAGTTTTCTAAATTAAAATTAATTTAAGACAGTGTATTAAAAAATCTGTTTTAACTTACATTGTTTAATTTTGTAAAAAATCTCATTTATCATGTAAAAGAGAACAATTCTCTACCAATATTATTAGCATGAGCAAATAGTGTCAAGTGACAAAATTCTCTACTTAGCAAATTTCAGTTCAATTTAGTTATTGCAACAAACTGAAAAATAACTACAATTCAATATCTGTCAATATTGATTTAGAAGTCAAACAACAAAAATCAGCGTTATATTTTCAAATTTTCACAGGACTAGTTTCGATGGTTTTACCGAGCCATCATCCTCAGCTGCAAAAGCGCAAATGAAGAAGATAAGATATAATGATTATATAAGATAAGAAACACTGGACAGGAGTCAAGTTACTGGTGCCATATGTTGATGAAACCAGAACTAAAACATAATTTTTTTAAAGGCTGAAGGCAAAAACGGATTGGTATTAGGGCCATTAACTAGAACAGAAAGTTTTTTTTTTTTTTTTTTTTTAATGTGAAATGCCTCTAGAAAATCAAGTTCACCAATGTAAGATTTGTTTTTTGAATAATTTTGGCTGCAGAAAAATAGAAAGTGTGATTTTCAGACCAACAATGCTGGGCAATAGCAGATTTTTGTGTTTCCTTTTTTCTAACATATGCCTCATGTTCCTTAATGTGAAATTTTAAGGCTCTCTTAGTTTGACCAATGTAAATTAAAATACACTGGCAAGGAATCCTGTAAATACCCCCGGAATTCATGCCAGGAATGGGGTCCATGTGTATGGAATTCGGAATTTCATTGACGGGAGAATAAACAACCCGAAAGTTAAATTTCTGTAAAATATGTGCAACTTTATAGCTAATTGATGGAACAAGGGAATGACAATATTATTTTTATAATCTCCTAAAACAACAGTGTGCCTTTTGGTGTGTTGAGATGAGAATTTTATAACTGCTTGATTAATAATGTTGGGTGAAAAGCCCCTGTCAATAGCTATTGCTTTTAAATAATTTAGTTCTTCATCAAGGGATAGTTTGAAGGAGCAAACTTGAAGAGCACGGAAAACAGGAATAAAATGAAGCTAACTTTTGTTTAGTCGGATGACATGATTTGAAGTGTGGTGAAAGGCAATCCGATAAAGATTTACGGTAAACCATAGTACTGAAGTTGGATGTGTTATGTGTGACCAGAATGTCGAGAAATGGAAGAGAATTGCAAGTCTAAAGTTCAAAAGTGAACTGAATAGCAAGATCAATGGAATTCATTGTTGAAAGAATGTTATTTAAATCATCTTTATTACCTTTAAACAGGGTAAAAGTATCGTCTACGTAACAGAACTATAATGGGAAGTTTAAAGTTTCAAACAATTTTGATTCATAATAATGCATGTAGATATCAGCCAGGATGAAACTGATCCCTCAGTCTTCCATTGGTGAATTGGATTTTCTAGAGGCATTTCACATTCAAAAAAATCTTTCTGTTCTAGTTAACAACTCTGATTCCAATTCATCTTTGCCCTTTAAAGAAATTATGTTTTACTTCTGGTTTCATCAACAGATGGCACCAGTAGCTTGACTCCTGTCCAGTCTTTCTTATCTTATCTGATCTCGTTCATTTGCGCTTTTGCAGCTGAGGATGATGGTTCGGTAAAACCATCGAAACTAGTCCTGTGAAAATTTGAAAATATAACAATGATTTTTGTTGTTTGACTTCCAAATTAATATTTGTTCAGTGTATATCTTAATCTGTCAATACTTTCTATCACAAAAATAATTAGGATAAATTTGTGTACTAGTTTTAGATATTTATTATTTTACAGCTGAAAATTCCTCAAATATCAATAGAAAGAATAAAAACCTATAATAGATTATATTATTAAAACAACAACAAACCATCTAAGCAAATAATAAATTACCAATTAATATGGTAAATATTATCAAAATTAAATGAATCTTACTTTTCTGTCCATTCAAAAGGGTTGACGTTTTTCTCAATGGCAGCATTTTCAGCTGGAAGTCCAAAAGCATCCCAGCCTATTGGATGTATTACCTAAAAAGAACTGCATTATAAATTATTTATTATTTATTAGTTACATAGCAAATATAACTAACAGAACTAGGCTAACTAATAACACTATGCAGAAACAGCTGAAATAAAAGTATTATTAACAGTAGTTATATACAAAGCTGAAAAACAGATGCATATTAGAAATGGTTAAGTTTTTTATTTTCTCTTCCCAAACATGCATTACCTTCATATACAAAACTACAAAGATCAAGATTAAATAGGTTGAATCTATTTCTATATAGAATCATCTTTTTCTGTGAGCTAAGTCTCCAATTAATACAATAAAAATAAAAGTTTAACACTTAAAAGAAGGCATTATTTATTGTTTTGACTATGTAAATTTCTAAGTTCTGGCAAAATAAAAATTTGTATTACTTCATGAAGCCTTGACGCTGCTTCATGCTTTCATGAGCCTTGATGCTACTTGCTTTTACAAGGCTGGCTTGTGTGCAAATAATACAATGGAAAAAAAAAAAAAGGTGCGCCTATTACCAAAATAACCTGTTATTTCCTTATAAGTGCAAGACACTTCACATGATGCTAATTTATGATGCAATAATACTACAGTAAGTTTTTCCCTCTCAATTATTTGACACTACTATTTTGAACAAATCATTTTAAATACTATATTGTTTAATGCTTTATATATTAAATTTCTGGAGATTTATTCTTAAATTAGTAGGCTTATTGCAACAGTTTAGCTTTAAACCAGTGCTCTGCAACCTTTTCTCACCTGCGACGCACAAAAAATCTTTCTGGAATTTCGTGGCATACCAAATAGTTCCAAGTTATCAAGGAAGTGCCGAAAAAATTCAAATGCTGACACACTTACAATCACACACATAACCACACAACAGTGAAATGTATAAAAACATTTAAAATAGACATTATTAAGGGGAAAAAATTGTCATTGTGTATTAAATACACGATAAAAAATTGCAAAATGTCAAATACATGTATTTGATTGTGGCACACCTATATCCTACTCATGGCACACCAGTGTGCCGCAGCACACTGGCTGCGAAGCACTGGTTTACATATATAAGAAAAAGCAAACATAGCACTGATTTTCTGGGCGTGAGATATAAATTTGGGAAACTTACTTTCAATAATGATTTGTAAAACTCAAACTTTGGCATATTTAGAAACAACTGCTTGAGATGATTGTTAGATTGCAAATAAATTAAGTCAAGCTGCAAATATGACCTTACTCCTGCTCTCATAATTTACGTTGAAAGCCATGGTAATAAAAATATCTAGTTCTGTTTGAATGGCACTGAAATCTTGCGTTCGAACTCAAAATGCAGTTTTTCTTCATCTTCAAAGCCATCTTCATAATTCTTAAGCTTCTATTCATTTACTGAGGGTATTGAATTTAACCTCAGGAAAATGAGACAAGTTCTTAGCTAGATGCCCAGCAAACATATTAAGTTTTATTAAGTAAGTTTTGAGTTAAGATAATTAAGTTTTTTCTAAGAGGTCTAATTCACATATATTGGATTCCCATATGTCTGCTCGAGAAAGAGATAACACTTGTTGGCGCCAATCTACACCTATAACTAACAAAGAACTTTCGCTTTTAACACTGTTACCGATTGAAAGCAGTCTGTGCTTGCAATTTTCGTCGATTTATGTTTTGTTGAAAAAAAAACAGAGAAAGTAAAAATATGATCAGTACTTTGAAAAAAAGGGAAGGAAAATAAAAGTACTTAAACAAAGTGGAAAAGGAGATGGATATATAATATATACACTTCTTTTAATTTGCCTCAGGCCAGCAAATTAAAATTCTATCCGCGGGCCGGATAAAAGCTTCCGGCGGGCCGCAGTTGCCCCGCGGGCCGTAGTTTGCCCATCCCTGCTTTAGATCATAATTGCTCTTTATTTCATAAATTATGGTTTCATATTTTCAATTTTATAATTTCTGTATGCCATCTTACCAGATTTAAACTGATGATCTATAATCCAGAATCACCAAAGTCCCGTCGAGTCCGGATTAAAGACTTCTGACTGTACGAGGTGCTTTGAAATTAAAAATTGATGATTTTCCCATTTTTAGCTATGGAAAACCTTAGAAAAATGTTTCGTTATTTCATTACATCTTAAATACATACTTTAAATTTGATTTATTTATTTTAATAAACAAATGAGTACCATAGGCTCCTTGAATTATTGGTATTGATCTAATAGTTCATATTTTTTTTATTATTTATAATTATTGGTTTAAGGCATACTCAGGTTTTCAGAAGTAAAGCAAAATATTTCAAACAATGACTTTTCAGGGTGTTTTTAAGAAATGTTTTATGCAGCAGTTCTTATAATGGTTATTTCCTTTTTTTTTTTTTTTACTTCTATTTTTTCCCAGATATTGGAAGAAAAACAGAAAAAACTGTCTGTGTATCAGAATTTACTGAAGAAAAGAAAATGAGAGGAAGGCGTAATAAACCAGAATTTTAAATCTACTCAGAGTAAAGTATCAAAACCCAGAGAATACCCCAGCTGATGCTACCAGCACTAGTTGTCCATCAACGTCTCAGTTACCACTGAAATCACCAAAATTTTTCTAAAAGGAACTTAATAATCAGAAAGTGTTTTTACCCTGGCATTACCTTTAACTTCAATGCAGCTGGTCGAAACATCAGAAGAAATAATAGAAAAATCTTTTATTTTATTTATCAAATGCCTGTCATTTGGCCACTAGGCCATTAGACAACGGGCTCTCCATCACACCACACGACAATTAAGAGCAGATAAAGCAGTGCACTCGTCCAAGCAGTCATATCTTGTTCAGTCATATAAAGAGAACATGCAGGAGAGTCTACAATTTTAAAACTAAAAAGATGAGCATGGAGGCAATCGTGTCCAGTTAACATTTTAAAAGTTGAAACTGCAGCAGCATGAGGTGAGTCAGGAGCAAGTTGTGGTCTAGAAAAAGAGTACACTCCAAGGTCTGCTATTCGAAAGATGCAAAGTTGTATCATGAAGAAAACACCTAGAAATCCTAGCTATTTCTAGTTTAGCTGAATGGAATCACAAATAAGTAAATAGTATTGCAAATAATAGTAAAATCTACAACTTCTGCAGTAGATACACATTTGAATGTGCCTGATGATCCCGAATTATGGCCACGTCCATTATTGCAATCCCAAGTACAAGCTTTAGAAAATGATCCCAGATATTATCAAAACCTGGTTTCCAGTTTTAGTTTCCCAAAAGACAAAAATGGATGTAAATTTTCTGCAGTGCACTTTTATCTAATCTTGCCAAACAACGAAAGAGTTAAAAGGGATTCGTTGCTGCATTCTGCTGAAAAATTTTTGTTGCAAAATTTTTAACGATTTTAGCGATGTAAAATTGAGTAGTTCTGGATTTAATGGTTGGAACCACTTTAGCGAGCACTTAAAACTTCATGAAAAAAGTAAAATACATTTCCATAATCTACATCTTTTATCCGATTTCTTAGACCGATTACAAAACGATAAAACTGCTGATTCAAAACTTATTAAAAAAAGAAAATAAGCATTGGTGCAATGTTTTTTTAAAGAATTATCGCTGCCATTCAGAGTTTAGCCAAACAAAACTTAGCCTTTCGTGGTTCCAGTAACAAATTATTTGAAAGAAATCATAGTAATTTTTCAATGTGTATAGAAATTGTCGCAAGATTTGAACCTATCATTTCTGTACATATTAATAAAACTAAAAAGTATGCCTCATTACCTTGGAGATAAAATTCAAAATGAAACAATTAGCTTATTATGGATAATATAAACAAATTATTTTTAATAAGATCAAACAGGAAAAGTATTTTTCTTTTTTACTTCATTGTACCCCTGATGCCAGCCATCAAGAGCAGATGTCAGTTTGTATGAGGTATCTTAATTAGAAAAGGCAGAAGTGAGTGTTGATGGTGTATTTAACTATGGCAAAGCACACTAGGGCTATCTGCCTAGAAGTGAGTGTTGAAGAAAGTTATTTAGTATGTTGTCCTGCAACAGATATGGCCGCTGAAGGACTAACAACATACTTATTAAACACTTTAGAGGAAAATGATTTAGATATTAGCAATTTATGCGGCCAAGGATATGACAACATTTCAAACATTAGAGGTAAACATAGTGGTGTGAGCAAAGGAATTTTGGATATCAATCTAGAGCATTTTTTGTGCCTTGTTGTAATCACAGTTTGGACCTTTTAAATGATGCTGAGAACAACAATTTATTTAGTGCAAAATGTTGATTTTTCTAGTGCTTTACAATTTTTTTTCGGCTTCAACTAATGTCTCGTCTGTTTTAAAAAGGCAAGTTTAAAATTTAACACAAACTTTTGTCAGATATGAGGTGGTCAATCCATATAGATGCAAAAACCCTTTAAAATTTCAATTAGGAGAGGCTTTTGATGCCCTGCATGAAACAACCGAAAAACGTTTTACAACACTACAAAAATTCAACCTAAATCTTTAGGGAAAAAATTAAAAAATTTAATTTTGTATGTATGGTAGTTTTATGGTATAAAATACTGAAGTTAATACTGCTAGCAATATTCTCCAAATTAAAAATTTTAATATTTCTGAGACTTCTAAAAGTTTAAATGGATTAAATTTGGTTGTACCCCTGATGCCATCCATCAAGAGGAGATATCAGAGTTTATAGATCTGCTAAAGATATGCTTCACTAAAGATATCTATAATCAAGTTTATAGATCTGCTAAAGATATGCTTTGCTAAAGATATCTATAATCAAGTTTATAAATCTGCTAAAGATATTCTGCTTCAATGATATGCTCACCGAAAGTAAAGAACTGATATCTTCTTTAAGTGCTGATTACAAATTTTAAAAGCCAATAAGCATTAAGACTTCCGGAAATAGAAAAAAAAAAAAAAAATTCTTTTACAAAGGCCAAGACCAGCCTATACAGAAAGAAGTAAACTTTTAAGTAAATTGTTTTATTTGGGGGGGGGGATTCTAGATGTTGCAATATCATCTTTA